CTTTGTGTATTGCCTTTCGGCCCGCTTGGCGAGCCTGTACGAGCGTCGAGAGCAAGCCGAGGTCATCGACGATCGAACGACAAGGGCGGCCCGGCGCAGAGCTGCTCCAAGCAACGTCGGCGAGAGGTTGGCCGTCACCCGCGATCGCTTCCTTGTACTCGATCGGCGCAGGCGTGACCGCGAGCATGCTCTTGCGCAACAAGCGCTGCCGACGCGCCTCGAGCTCTTGCTTGTCGTTCTCGACCTTCTTGGTTGTCGCGCTCGGGTCGGCGGCTCACTTCCGCGCGAGATTTTCACATTTCACAAACCTGCGCCTCCAAGCGGCCTTCTACGTCTTGGTGTACAGAGCGTCGTCCGCGCGCAGCCAATGTCGGCGTCGCCGCTTTAAACGTTGGTAATAGTTGGTGCCTCGAGCGTCGTGGCCACGTGCGACTGAATGAGGTTGCTCAAGAGGAGCGCTTCGCCCATGCCGTCGCCACCAAACGCGAGAAGCGTCGCAATTGCACACTGCGCGCCCAAGGTGCGATGCGGCGTGAAGCTTGGCCTTGAGACCCGGTGCTGCGTGAAATGGTCGTCGACGTGGTCGCGCACAATCTCATCATCTTTGGGCGCCTTCGATGCGGCGACGCGAGGTCGACACGAACCGATCCATGTGGCGCGTCCACTAGCTCACAATGGCATACTTGCGCCCGTGCACGTCAAGCGGGTGGTGCGAGCACGAGAAGGCGCGGAAAAAGCGCAAAAATCCCGAGCTCGTGTGTCATGGGCAAACACGGAACCTAGTCAATCTGTGAGACCCAAGTAGCGCTAAAGACCTGTGGTGCCTTGCGCCAAACGCGAACGAGCGCAGCGCCGACGCCTTGGAGAACAAGGTAAGTGCCGAGCACGACGAGGATCATAGGCGCACGGCCACGGTAGGTGGAGGGCTAAAAGCTCCACTCGATTGAAATCGAGTAGAGATCGCATCTGGCGCACCGCTGAGTGAGAGGTTCGCGGCGGGCGAGAGGTCGCCGCGGTCTCAATGCTGGCTGTCGTGTGTAAGCCGTTGGACGTCAAGCGTGAGGCGCTCGAGATGAGCGCCATTTGGCTCTGCGCCGCGAGATGACGAGCACACTCCGAACGCGACGCAGCGCGCGCAGCGCCCAATGCTGCGCCGGCGGCGTGGTCTCGTCGCGGCGCCCATTTTGGAATGTATTTCCCTTGCTAGCGGTGTCCGGCTATTTATCCGGATGCCTCGAAACGACGCCACAGGCTCGATGTACGTGAAATGGGGGTCTTAAAGTTTACGTACACGATATACAAAGAAAGAGGAGAAAGAGATTGAAAGGTCTTCAGCACGTTGACAGAGGTGGAGCCTGGCTTTCAAGTGTAGTGATGCGGCTGAAGTTGCTCGGCCTGCCTTTCAACCAATCAGGCGAAGCTTTTGATGAAAAAATCATGGTTTACGGTGTATTTCGACCAGTAGCCGCCTTAAAGCACATAAGAAGGCGCTTGGATTGGCTAAAATTCACGCAGATATCATCGCCACGACTGAGCTCCGCGATTGAGCTTCAACAGATGGGACGACTGAGCTCCACGTCCGACGCGGCCGAGGTCGCCGTCCAAGCAAGCAGCCCGCTGCTTACCGTCTTCCAATAGCTGCACCACGCGTACTATAGCATTGCCTACTTATGTCTTGCAGTGCTGACTCTTGTAGCGTTGTCGGTGAATAGGATTAGCTGCCGCAGCGTGGCGGCAGGCTGATGTGGTGCTTGGGCGCCCCGGGCCTCGTGTCGCATGTGGAGTTACCCTCGAAAACGCATCACGAGCCATATATTAATTTTTGAGAGGCATTCGCCAAAGCCTCCGAAATTCGATCAATCGCGCGCATAAGCTCAGTCGCCCATATGAAATGCACCAAGCCACGCCACAAGCGCGACAAGGTCGAGGCGAGGCCATCGTCCGCACTCCTCGCACAAACGCTCGAGGTTGTCGCTGTCAACGTTTGCCTCGGCGCGTCGACGGCTGCGACGCTGCTCAACACGTTTCGGATACCACCAATCGAGTGTGATGATCATCGATCCTCGACGATGCAGACCCAAGCCAATTCGCATGCTGGATGAGGACGCTGCGATCGTTGCTTACCTGGCAAGCCGACGTCCTGTACTACAGGGATTCGCGGCGAAAGAAGGACCTCGGCCACACGAGTGTCACCGTCCACAGTCGACAGGACGCCCGCTTGCGAGCGCTTTGCCGTGCGACGCGGTGCGGTGCGGCCGAGGCCCTGCAGCGCAAATTGCGGAATGAGCAGCGCTCAAGGCTTCTACAATTCTCTTGTAAAAACTTTTGCGTTTCTCCTTTGTCGTGCTCGCTTTTACACTTGTTTTTACAGGACATTCTCCGAGTGCCACGTCATAGAAATTGGTTGTTTTTTGCGACCTGACATACGAGGACGCATGAATCCCATCACACGCGTTATGACAATATTGTAGATCACCGCGAGTGCGGGAGCCCGAGAATTGTGAGCTACAAGCCTCTCGTTCCAATCGCTCCACAGAACGTGCTGGACGTCGTAACTCTATGAATGTTGCTAGGAATCGCAATCTTGTTCCACTGGAGGGGGAGACCGTCGCTACAAGTGCAGAGGACGACGCGTGCCAATGCAGCCATTTGCATTTTTAACGTTTTAAAAGCGCTTTGTATCTGTGGTCGAGCATTGCGTGCGATTTAGGCCTGCAACGACGACGTATCGCAGTCTGCTCTACTCTTTAAAGTGTCTCCTATCACTGTCCCAACTTTGGGCGATTCCATTTCAAACATGATGTTGCCGGCAAGCGACGTCGGCGTCCTGGCGTGATGCCGCTAAGATGGCACTACGATCTTAGTCTGGAGTGCGTTGTGCCTCTCAGATGGCACTACGATCTTAGTTTGGCGCGCATCTTGGATCGCGTCTCGCTATCGCTGTACGCCTCGTACGTCGATGCGACCTCGCTTTCCGTGCTCTCTACAGCGTTCTTTTTGCTACTGTGCCAAGGTTTGGCCATTTCGTTTTCGAACGCAAAGCAGTCGATCGAGCGATGGTTTGGATGGCATGGCGCCAAGCTAAATAAGGAAAAAAGATACGAATATTGTGCCGCGTCCACTGGATGGTGAGTGGCACTTGTGCTTGGTGTTGTGTGATGCTTCTCTGCACAACGTAGCCCACAACAATGGCAAGACGGTAGATTTTGATTCATTCTCTGGTGCGATGCGTGCTGTGGCGTCTCGCATTTTTAAACCTATCCCTACAGTTTGGAAATCGCTATTCACTACAACCATGATCGCTATTCACATCTGCACACGACGGCTTATCGAACCATTTCCCGCCAAGGTCGTCATCTAGACTACCGAACAGCGCGCGCGGCCGGCCTGTCGTATCTCGAAAAATGCGATACGTAGTCGCGATCTGTTGCGGTCTAGGGCTAGGGCCAGGCAATGACCTTAGACAACGGCTTGGGGCGATGCAGCCTCCGTCAAAGATCACTATAGACGCGTCGAAAATGGTTCCCATGAGGTAGCAGCCACGCATGATGAAGTTCTCGCCAAGAACTGCCTGTTTTCATCATACATTGACGTGTCCGAGCGGACGATTACGCAAGCGCTTGCGTTGTATTGCTGCTTGGGGCCTCGAATGGGATCTTTGGCACCAGCAAATCGATATTACAGTGCCCTTTTTGTTACAAAGCCTGCCGCGACTCGGTTGTTGGGCAATACCGTTGGCTCGTAGATCATTTTCATGGACCAAAGTGTCTCTTAGGTCTATCGCTCATTCTTGTGCGAGTGTATAAGCAGCTTAGTACTACTATTCATCAAAATCAATATGCGTCGTGTGCGCGAGGCTTTCGTCGCGCTCGGCTTTGGCGCAGACCGCAATGGCGTCCGCCGTTGCTGCGTCGAGAAAGGCCAGACCCACGAACGCTTCAATCACGCGCAAGAGGCTGTCGGGAACCTTGGCCAAGCGCGTGCCTTTGAGGGCGTCGAGAAACAAGGCGCGCTGCTGCGGAAACACGTAAGCCGTCGAGAGCACGTCAACGTCCGAGTGCACGAAGTAGACGCGCAGCAGCGTCAGCTGACCTGTTTGCATCGCGTCCTGCGCGTGAAAAGGCAAGAGTCGGTGCTGCACGGCGCTCGGGACCACGACGAGCCGGCGCGGATGCAGGTGCACAAAGCCCGTTGTCTGCGTCTGCAATGCGTGGCGCTCGGGGCAAAACACCTAGCTGTATCATAGCCAATCCGACAGTGTGCAGGTCGACGTACCTCGCGGCCGTCGCCCGTCATGCGCACGTTGGTTCGCCCAAACGTCTGTTGGCACTCGATGGTCGGCAGCGAAATGTTCTCGGAGGCCACGACGAGCATCCCTGTGGCAACGATCGCATCGTTAGCGAGGCCCGAGCCGAGCTGCCAGAGATGTTGACCAGGATGCGTCGGCGCTTCTGGCGACACGGCATACGACTGGACTTGGCACACAACCAAAAGTCGAGAGTCTTCGTCGTTGTCACGCTCGAGCAACGGAGCAAACTCGTTTTGGAGGCAGCCTTCGTGCACGTGCTCTGGCAAGACGGGGGGTACTTCCGGCCAGAATGGATCGAAATCGACGTTGTTCGCGGCGAGCTCGTCTCGGAAGGCGCGCTGCTGCGCCTTGGTGATCACGTCCCGAGGCCCCAAGTTGTGCTGCACTCGGTAGAGCTGCCGCAGCAAGGCCTTTGTGTCGTACGGCAGCGACAAGTCTTGCACTCGCGGACTCGGATAGGCCGTTGGATTTGCCGCCTTTTGCGCATACCGGAGCAACGGCACCATGCGCGCAACGACGCCTTCGAGGCTCGCAACCAAGTCGACGCTGTTGACATTGTTGACGTATGCCTCAAATCTCGCGGCGCCCGAGACCTTATCGTAGGCCATCGGCGTCGGCAGCCACTGGTGCGTTGCCGAGACGTGTCGAGAGGCTGGAGAGGCACACGATGCGACGTGCTGCGCGGCACTTGCCCGACCGTCGTGGGGCGATACGCTGAAGTGCGTGTGGTTGGCCACGACGCAGTACATGTTTGGATCGAGAACGTCATGCACGTGCCGCGCCGCGTCATGAGGCGCAGCTGCCAAAAGCGGTGCCAACGCCGACGCGATAGCGGCGACGTCGACGTCGTCACAGTGGCTGACACCGTACGCTGTGTTGGGCACAAAGCCCAGCGGCGTCACACAGTGCGTCTGAAGCAGCGCGAGCTCCTCCGTGAGAAGGTCATGTGGCGCAGAAGCCAACCGGTGCGGCTGGTTGAGTGCATGGCACAGCGCATTCATGTACGCCAGCTCGACCTGCGTGTACGCAAGCGGCTTGGCGGCACCAAATCCGCACCAAAGGAGCGTGTACGCGGCTTCCAGCGCGGTGTCGGGCAGCCAAAAGACATCGCGCGTCTTAAGAGCACTTGTGGAAAAGCTGGTCTGGAGAAGAAATCTGACGATGTGGCGATGGCTACTGGATCGAGTAATGTCCAGATACGACTGGCCGTTCTAGACCATATGACGTGAGAGCCTATTTGTGGGGAATTGGGGAAACAACATGGCGATACGCCGCGACGTCGCCAGCGCGGTGCACGAGAAGCTCGACGGCTGGAAGGAGCCCGCGGCTGCATGCCTCGTGGAGCAGCGACCGGCCGTCCTTCGGTGAGGGTGCGACGTTGGTACATACATGGAACGGTGATACCTCCAAACGGGCGTTTGGGTCTGCGCCGGCGTCGAGAAGCGACGCAAGGATCTCAGAGCTGTACAGCGCGCGAACACAGTACATCTATCGTATATGTCACAATCCCTGGATGAAAACCAAACGCGAACCGGTCCCAAGGTGTTGAGCTCCACGAGCGGCGCGAGAAGCGCGACAATCGCTGCGCTCTCCGCGTTGATGGCGATGTACAGCGGTGTGCTGTAGACCTGGCTTTGCACTCAGCGTCCACGCACACTAAATACGTCAACGCACCGAGTCGTCAGCTGCCAAACGAGGGTCGGCGCCGTGCTGCAGCAAGCCGCGCACGAAATCCACGTCGTACACATGCATGTCGACGGCGAGTGTGAGTGGTGACTGCCCCATCTACAGAAAATAGTGTAGTCGCGACGCTCAGGGAGGCGCCAGGCTACCACGTCGAAGACGTTGAGGTTCGTCACGGGAATTAGCATGTGCGCAGACGCAAGGAGCTGGCCGCGGATCGCATCGTGCAGCGGCGTGGAGCGGTACTAGAATCCGAGTGTATAGCGGGAAGAGTGTTCACTCGACGCACATCGTTCAACGAGTTGGGGTCCGCGCCAGCTGCAAGAAGTAGCTCGAGGAGGTTGGGATACGGCGTCGCGTACCACAGCGCCTGCATGTGCGCTCAGAAATTCTCGATTCGACCACACAGTACCTCGGATACCACCGGTGCGGACGGTTGCATCGAGAGGACGAGCGACACCATGCGTTCATGGCGATTTCCAGTGTGAATCGCTGTCGACAGCAGTGAACGACCCTCCTACCATCGCAAGGTCGTGGAAAACGGGCGGAAGAGCAGCAATTGAACCTTGTTGCGATGGTCGACGTTCGCGGTGCCACTCAACAGGAGGAGGCTCCAGATCAACTCGTTCTCCTCCCGCGGGCCTCTCTTCACAAGCGCAAACAGCGGTGTTTCTCCGTTCTACCATCCAACGCGATAGTTCAACTCGCCACTGGAAGCATGTCGAGGCACAGACCTTATTGGGCGCATTCGGGTTGGCGTCAAAGCGTAGCAAAAGCTCGACGACGTCAACACGCGCGTGCGCGACGGCCATGAAAAGGGCGGTTTGTTGACTCTACGCAAGCTTTATCAGCGCTGGCCCGCTGTCGCGACGTGTACGTTCGTGGCAAAGTCAATGTCGGCGCCGTGGTCGAGTAGCAATGAGACGAGGGGCGCGTGTCCTCTGGTCGCCGCAATGTGCAGCGGCGTCAAGCCTTGCTACGCAAGAGGCATTCTACGTGAGTCTAGCAGCAACGGGTATGTAGCGGACCTGGTTGGCGACGTCCAGCGAGGGCCATGGTAATTCGAGGAGCGTCGCCAGATTACCCACGTGTCCAGCCTTCGCCGCGAGGTGCAAGGCCGTGTTGCGATCCTAGGCTACGTCAGAAGAGAGGACGTATACAGTCATCGTACGCGGTCCCGCGCGCCCACGATGGCGGGCTCCACGTCGACCTGGTGGCCGGCCTCAAGAGCTTGGGCGATGGCGTCGTCCATTGTGCAACAAAGACGAAATAATTGCGGTCTTTGATTGGCCAATTCGGGCGGAAAGTCCAGCTTAAATGCCCAATCAAACGCTGTGGGTTCATTCCAAGATCGATGATGATTGGCTGAAACGACATAGAGTGTGGACCTGAGTTGAATCGTTCGTGATAAATTAAGCTTGCTAAAAAAATAAACTTGCTGGCCCGACAAGCAGCTTCCACACCTACAGTGCTTGATGCAAAGTCGGGGAATACGCGATGAAACGAACGCTCGAGGCTACAACACCACAGTGAAGGCCGAGTTCACAGAGGTGATTCGGATCAAGTATTGTCGAATGCTCCGACGCGATGCTACGACGACTGCCGCATCTTCACGATGGAGGCATGTACCGTTTTAAGCCCAAAATAGTGGCAACTCGGCACAAAATCAGCCAAAACAGTGTGTCAATGATGGCTCGTCAATACCCAGATCTGAGTCCAGGCAAATGGGCGATCGAGAGGGCCCCGACGGTTGGTCAAGTGCCTTACCAGTGTAGCGGTGTCTCGCGGTCGACACGCAGGATGTCCGAAGGACGCGGGCACAATCTCTTGCAAACGAAGCGCATCACCCAGAGCCGCATCCGACGTGCTACGACGTGGATCGTGAGTCTCCTCATCTCCAGTGTTGCAGCGTATTACGGTGTCGAGCCGTCGTACAACGGCCTCACGCTAACGTTTACCGGCAGCCAAATCTCACAGTCTCATGCGTTCACGGTCATCGACCCGAGCAACCTCCGCTTCTACAACCTTCGCGTGGCGCCAAACACCCCAGCGCTAGTATCATCGCTTGAAAACCTAACCACGACGACGCAGTTTGCTGAGCCGCTTGTCTTTGCCCAGCTCGTTTCCAACGCCAGCGATTACCTCTCTTCCATGGACGCCGCGACGACCGCACGGTACTTGGCCGATCTGGATGTCGCGAGCGTCTACGCCGGTACGCACCACACATCGCGGTCCGTGCGCTGTATTGCCACCGCCGGCTCGCCCCTTGGCTGGTCAACGGCTTCTGTGTCAGCTATGTCGAGGGCAAGATCTACCACGCGTGGACGTCGCGGTACTTTTATGACGGCGAGGAGGCGCGCGGCGGCGCCATGGCCAACGCTGTCATGCTCTTCACGTACGACGGAGACTTCTTGGAGCGACGTCGCTCGGAGATGCTGCTGTCCGACGCGATGGCCGTCACCGGCCTTGGGTATTTTCGTGTCAACCGCGCATGGGTGCGGACGATCGACGATCCGTTCAGCTTCCAGGGCGTTCGAGACGACGGCGCGGCGATCGTGGTGGTTAGCTTCGTCTCGGTCCTCAACTTTAACGGCGCCAAGATCCTTCTGGGCCTCCAAGCTCCGAATCCGTGCTACGATGTCTTTGAGCACATCGATTATGGCTACACCAACCTCGTGACGGCCGAGTACATTTGGCTCGGACCGCAGCTCGCGACGTACATTGCGCAGTTTGTGGTGGTGCTCGTCGCGCTTGGTTCCGTTGAGCACGACGTCTCTGTCTCGATCCTTGTCGACTTGGTGAGCGCAACGAGCTACTCGTCGGTGCTCCTCGTCTTTTCACTTCTCGGCAAGTACTACCTCGTCTTCAACCTCAGCAGCATCCTTCCATCGGACTCGGTCCTCTCCATTTACCTCATTTCGGTCATTTCGCTCTACCACAATCCGATCGTGTCGCACTGCTGGCCGTCCAAGCTCTTGGTTGCTTTAAACTACTCAGTCGTCAGCATCGGCATCTTCCATCGGGTGGTTTTGAACCTCTGGCGCTTGCCGTCACGGGCGCCGAAATCTTTGTCGGCTGCAGCTTCAATACCAAGCTGCAGGTCGGAACCAATCCGACGCCGTGTGTCTTTGGCACGGGCAACTGCTTCAACGGTATCAACTCGCGCGTCCTCGTCGTCATGGGCATGCATCTCGCGGTACTTTCTCTCTATGTGCTAGCAATCACGTTACATTTTCGGCGCCACCCGCGCCAACTCGTCAAAGTCCACGGCCTCTTGGGCTACGCCAAGCACCCTATCGGATCGCTCCCCAAGGTCTCTGCAACGACGTTCGAGACGCACTGCAACGGGCAGCTCCTCGACGGAATCCTAGCGTCGCGGTATCACTGCGTCGACACGCGGCGGGAACACGTTGGCACGTCGACCGCTGCCGTCATGACGCTCGGCTTCGTGACTATGCGTTGCGGCCTCCTGATTCGGTTCAAAGATTACGCAACACTTGTGGTCGCGCGCCTCCTCCCCATGAGCTACAAGAAGACGCTGCGCATCTCGATCCCAGTCGCGACTCTCGCTAACAACAGCGTCGAGGGCCCGCTCACCTACGTCTATATCCACGAGCTCCCAGCCCATGATCTGTGCATTAGCCACCCGGTCTGTATTCTCTAATAAGGTCCAACAAGGTCAAGTGAACCTTGTTGATAAGGATGCTGGTCAAAACGCTTGCCATGTACCTGTATCATTTTATGCTGTATGTATTTACAAAGTTTTTACACGTGGCGCTTCGAGACGTTGGTGGTTCATCCGAACCTGTGAGGAGTGCATTTAAGTGGTCTCGATCGCAGCCTCCAGCAAGTACTATGTTGCTGTCGCAATGTAAGATGACGTATATATACGTTATCTGAGTTACAACGCTGCCAGTAGCGTCGTCAGTGCGGGGTGATGGCATTGGTTGGCGAGCGCCGTCACTTTGGCCTTGTCCAAGCCGACGCGGCGCTCAAAGAGGAAGTACTTGGCGACGAGGACGCGACCATGGCGCAGCGCCGCCGCGAGCGCCGCCAACGCGTTGCCTTCGCGCCGAAACGTGTCGAGGAAGCGCACCACATAGACGTGGCCGTTCGCAGCCGCCTCGATCATCGCCCGCGCCGTGCAGCCCTCTTGGCGGCTCTTGTGCAGAAACGTCACAATGTCCAGGCGGCCGTACGCTGCTGCGAGGTCCATCGTCTCGGCCGAGAACCCTGGATATCGGTGGCGATGCAGGAACTGAACCACATTCGTGCGCCCGTGGAGCACCGCGATCGCGACCGTCGATCGGTCCCAGACACCGAGGCCGTGCGCAAGGCAGTACTCGGCCACCTTGGTATGGCCGCCGTTGCAGGCTGCCTTGAGGGTGTCGTGGGCCACGGGCGCGCCGTGCTGGTGAAGGAAGCGCAACAGCGGCATGTTGCCAGTGCTCGCCGCCGTGCGCATGACGAGCGCTGGGCAGCTGGCGGCCTCTCCGGTGGCAAAGAGGTGCTGGAAGACGCTGAGGTGCGCGTATGTCGCGGCCACCGCCCAGTGCGCGTCCGAGAGTCGATGGTCGAGGTGCACCAAGAGCGCCGTGTTGCTGTATGTGAGCGCGTAGTAGAGAAGGTGCTCGTGATAGCCGGCGGTGACGAGTTGGTCGAGGCCGCGCACGCCAAAGCGCAGGTGCCAGACGGCGAAGCGCACGTGGAAGGGCCCGAGGATCTTTGGCAGGCGCTGCGTCTGCTGCATAGAGACGCCGCGCAAGGCGCGCACGATCGCCATCGTATGCTGGTTGTAGCCCGCCTGGTAGGCTACGATGGCGAGGACCAGGTCCGGCGAGCGGAGAGCGTGCGGCATGGGCAAGAAATTGAGATTTTGTCCGGATAAACATCAGCTGCGACCTCAGGAGCGTGATCGGCTGCCATTCTTTGGCCACGAATGTTCTCGCTGCAGCGACGCGGCGCCGGTCGTTTTCTGTAAAGATCTGTCAATGGGATGACGACGCGGGGTCGAGTCTGCCTGTCGCAAGCATCACGTGGCAGCTCGACCACTCCGTGTCCGTCCACAAGCTGCAGACCATGAAAAAACGTCGCTTCACGCAAGATCTGTCACAAATCAACCCGATTGGCCATTATAGTTGGCAATATGCGTTGTGATTGGATGAACGTCTCCGTACGAAATGAGATGCGTGTCTATCGGACGTAAATAAGAGCTTATTGAATCGTGCACGCTGCGTCGTCGGCGGGCGGCGTCGGGCGCAGTCGCTGGAGGTACGCGACCACGGCTTCGAGCCGCTCCCTCAGCGTACGAGAGGCGACAACACGGAGGCTTCGTCGCGCAGCTTCGAGCGCGCCGACCAAGAGCGTCTCGCCTTCGTAGTGCGAGCAAAAGTATGTCACGAGCTCCAAGTGGCCGCAGGCGGCGGCGCGACGGAGGCTGCCCGCAATGTCGTTCGCCCGGCAGTGCTTGTCCAGATACCTAACGACCTCAATGTGGTTGTGGTCGACGGCGCCAAGCATTGCGTTGCGCGTGCCGCGGAGCCGGCGCTTGTCGTTCAAGAAGCGTATCGTCGCTAAGTCCCCTCGAGCCGCGGCAATGTCGACGGCCTCGTCCGAGAAGCCGTCGTAGCCGTTTTCGTGCAAAAAGCGCAGGACCGGAAAGTTCCCGGATCGCACCACGTCGTTGATCGTACCGGCGCCGAGCGACCGGGTGGTCTCGCGGTCGTTGGCAAATTCGGCGACGTGCAGTTGACCCGCCGTGCATGCCCAGCGCAACACGTGTGGACTCCAGTACCCGAGGTCTTCGAGGTACACGACCATCGCGAGGTTGCCCCGCATGGCCGCGGCCTTCATCGCGCGCGGGTCGTAGTTGGCCCAGTCGTGTCGGTGCAGATACTCGACCACATGGAAGTGGCCAAAGGTCGCCGCGATGATCCACTGCGAGTTGGAGATGGCGGCGCGGGACGAGGTGCGCATGCCCCGAACAACCGCAAGGTTGCCGTGGACGAGCGCGTAGTAGACGGCGGCGGGGCGGCTCTTCGTGAAGGCGACGCGCAAGAGCGAAGCTGGCAACACGCGCTTGTGAAAGGCCGCAAAGGCCGCAAAGCATGTGGCGGGGTACGTATCGTCGGCCGCCAGCAAGAGCGCGTGGAGGCCCGCGAGGTCGATCGCGTCGAGGAGCTCGCGCAGCTCGAGAATCTCTTGGGGCGTGCCACGCTGGTAGGCGCTGACGAGCGGAAGCAGGTCGCGGGAGCCGAGCACGCGCGCTGCGGCCATCACGTCAAAATGCAATCTGGCCAAAAGTGGGACGCTTCTCTGTCACAGCGAATCAGCGGGCGCGAATCCTCCCGCGGATATCGAGCCGAAGACCGAGAAGCGCCCCAGCTGCCGAGAACACCCTACATGTAGATATATTCCGGATCACTACTGCGAGCCTCTCTCCGTGGCCCCTCGACTCTGCTATCGTCGCGACAACCGCGCACGGCGAGCAAAAAACTGCTCCATCAACCCAGGTCTAGCCAATCAGCGTCGAGTGTTCGATTGTGAAACCGGGCGATTTCAAGCGGCCGAGGCAAGTCCGTCCGTCGGTTCGCGCTGAGAATAACGCGGCATCCTCATCGTTCTTGTTGAAAATTTAAAAATTCGAAACTCGTGGAGGATCCTCTTGATGTTCAACGAAAGCGGTGGAGATCTAGGCGGGCGAGGCGTCGCGGGGGTAGTCAGCGTGGGCCATCACGGGCGTATGAGCCATCTCGGGGTCCGATTCCCGCACAGAAATGATCCCGCCGAGCGTCAAGCCGATGGCCACGAGGTGCAAGAAGGCTGCGGTGAGGAGGCATCCGATCGCGGCGTAGAACGCAGTGCAGTCGAGCAGCTTGCGTGACGTGAACTTTTGAAACGAGCACGTCTCCGTGAGCAGTGTCGACGTGAGAAGGACGATGCCGGCAATGAGCGAGAGAAGGCCCAGAACGGCGTCGAGCGAAATGAGCATCCATGGCGCCGTCACGACGCGGGAAAACGACCGCAAGCCGAGCAAAAACGCGATGGCCACGGCAATCATCCCGACCGTGTAGCCCGCGACCATCGCAAAGTCACCCGCCGAGACGCCTGTGACGGATGTGGCCGTGAGCATGGCTGAGAAGCCGCAGATGGCTAGGAGGGCGCGGAGGAAGAAGTGGCCCATCGGCATCGTCGACATGGTGAAGCGCTTGAAAGTAAATGTGAAAATGAGAGGACGAGTCTCCTCCTGGCTAGAGCCAAGCTGGATTTGGTGTGTCACGAAACGTCCCGAGCAACATATGACGTGGACCACCTAGCCCGCTTCAACGGCAGAATGTGAGATTGGTCTAAAAACTTGATACACTCGAATCAGTAACGTGGTCGGTCTATTCTACCAGGAGCTAGGGCCCAACGTCCATCAGCAGGTTTTGCTGAATATCAATCGCGTGGCATTGCATCTCAGGTCGGTCACTCGAAGACGCCAAAGCATGTCCCCCAACCGCCAGAACGATTCTGGTAGCGAGAAGCTGGTAGGATAGACTTCTACAGACTTCACAATATAGAGCAGTGTCTTACGTTTGCAGCTCGTCGGACGGGAAGAGCGCACATGCAGGGACCGATACTTTCGACACTAGATTTTCGGTGTGAATCAAAGCAGGATTTATACATGGTGCCACAACTGAGACACGGGGGGAGTGCATCTTTTTCGACAAGGCGATCCTGGCGTCGGTATGTGGGCTACTGAATCGTTGTATATCCATCAGTGTCCAAGTAACGTTGCACACTTTCGGAGTACAGTGTATTTCATTCGGAACTGTACAACATTGTCTGTTCGCTGAAACAGCTGCGAACGACTGACCGAAAACAGCTTTAATGAAAGCAACATGCCTGCCTTTCATGTGGATATTGAATATGTAGTACTGGTATGGGGAGCCAGAGCATGCAAGCATCAGGTGACGCATTTGCTGGTCGATTCCTGTTTCAAACAAATATATTATGTACACGTGGCGTGTCTAGGTCGACGTTGCGACACCTTGTGGTTTTCTGGGCGATTGCTCTCAGCAGACTAAGCTTAAGATCGAATGTGTTTCAAAAGCCACTAAATTGTACATTTATACGCACTAGTCTGCGACGGTCCCAACTCGAGGATCAAGTCCAAAATGGAGTGGTCTAGAGCATCGTAGCAACTGTCGCTCTCCAGCAGAGATGGAGTGTTGGTCGCATCCAGCAACTGAGCAGCACGCGCCTCTTGTAGCAGCTGCTTGGTGTGGGTCCAGCAGTACCCGCCCTTGCGTGCGAGGATCTTGCAGTCGTCGACTTGGCAGAGGCGGCCGCCGCCGTGGCGTGTGCACTTGCCCTTTCGATGGGCGACGCGAGGGCAGTCGGGCACTTCGCACATGCGCTTGGCCTCGAGCCGCGCGTTGTGGCGCGTGCAAAACTGCCCGCTGCGGGCCTTCCCGACGCAGTTAGGGAACTCGCAGGACTTGCGGCCGCCGTGGCCGACGCAGAGTCCGCGGGCATAGACTTGGTTCCAGCACTCGGCAATCGAGCACATGGACCGGTTGCGGTGGAAGAAGCACTTGAAGGAGCCATCGTCCATGGACGCGTTGGTGCATTCGTGAAAGCAACAGATCTTCATGACAGCAGTGAAAAAGGAAAATGATTTTGGTCGATGATGAAGACACAAGTTGATTCTAAAACAAGTGTCCTGTCACAGTCAACGCCCGAGTCCAACGGCGTCGTTACTTGCACTCGACATGTGCCACTCGCGATGGTGGACACGTTGGCGGGTGGAAATCCAGTACAAATACATAGAGGTAGCCTGAGGTAGCCCAAGGTCATAAAGCACAATTCACTTCAGATCCTTTACAAAACCAAGTACAATGCAGATTCAATGCACGGTGGTTGGAGGCGACACCTCGTAACCTGTGGTACGCTAATGCAGCCAAAGTCCATCAAGGGGCTTCTACTGATCCTTTGGTGGGGCGTGTGATCTCTTAAAGGCCCGTGAATCACGTTTAGTGTCAAAGAGCATGTTGCCAAGTTGAGAAAGCGATTGATTGTTGCGTACATTTGGGTGAACTAATGAGACCAGCATACCGCATCCTGGTGCGGGCAACACAAGCTGGCCGTATGCGTGCTGGTGAAATGAGATACATTGAGCAATGGTGGCCTGTTGACGAATGGGCGAGCATATCTCGGTCGGTCCCAAGTCCGCTGCGTTGCTAAGAGAAGATGTCGGAGCTCCATGCAGGGAATGCATAGCAGCGGTTTCGACATCTGGTGGTCCAAGCTGTGTCTCAACACCACAAGTGCGCAGAGATACGGTGCTTCATGGCAATCCACTCCGGAATCAAAAAGGCCCAATCGAAAATGTTGCAGAATGGAATTCACTCCCGTTTGAATCGGGTCCCAGCTCTGTTTTCTCGCTGGGATCACTCTTGAAGAGCTGGCGCCGGGGAGGGCATAAGTTGGTGCTCGTTGGGTACTAGTACACTTCACCAAAGGTCAAAAAGAAATTTATTCATCCATGCCTCTGCGTACTCCAGCGGGCGAAGAGCGCGCATCAACCTAGGGCCATGGCTTATGGGCCCGACACAACGACTGCAAAGCAGACTGTACCCGATCAATTTCCATCGCAAACACTATTTTCGGCACTACACGGTGCCGTTCTCGAGCAGCGTGGCAAAGACGGCGGGAAAGACGGGATAGCCGGCTGCTCATGCAGTTTTCCAGCGCCAGAGTGCAAGAGTGCATTGATTGATGTCCTCCCTGCGATAGACCAACGAGAGATTGTGCGACGACAGTGGTAGCAGCGGCCTGGTCTGGACACATGTTATACCCACAACCGTGGGCAAGATCGCGGTTGTATTGTAGACGCAGACCCACAGAGTGGCAGGTGCTCTGCGGGTGCGTCCCAGAATCCCACGCCTCCACCAGCATCTGCGCCTCCATACATTCAGCCTTCAATGCCTGCATGGGTTACAAATCAAATGCGGTTGCAATTTCTGTCTCTTCCACCAAGTCTGGGCGTTCTCTGCGTCAGCCAACGCAGTCACGAGCTATACGAGAACCCAGGCTGCGTTGGTCAGCCGATCTTGAGCTCCGACGCGTCCAGACGGCTGGCCCCGCAGGGTGCACATCACAGGCAACTGCATCAGCCACAGCGTGACGGCAAAGCCACTGGCTGGTGACCGGGCGGGTCGCTACGGAAGCCTCGGCAATCAGCAATCGGCGCATGGTTTGGACGACCTCCTCAATGCGTTAGCTTCAGGAAAGAGACGCTGGCGTACTCGTTCTTTCGATACGCTACGAAACTCGAGATTCTCTGAGATGTTGTTCTGCACAAAGCCCCTTGGAAAGCACAAAAGGGACACTATTTGGGCGGTTACTACTACCAGTTCGTTAGAATCGAAAGAACGAGGCCGGATGGCTTTCTTCAGCCACAAGGAGATCGACTCGTGGAATGGCGACTACAAGGAGACAAACCTCGACTGCGTTGGCTACACGGGCGCCGTCGTCGGTGTCCTTGGCAGCCGGTGCGTCGCGTGTTGTTTATGGCAACGTAAATGATCTTGTAGGGCAATTGTACTCGGCGGGCGGGAGACCCCGGGTGAAGACTTCAACGAGACCGCGCTCGTCCTTGTCTTTGACCTGGTAACCGAGCGAATCCTGTACGACTACGACGTCCAGGGCCGCATCTCCCGGCGCATCGGTATCGCACAAACACAAGAGGGAGATGTCGTGACGCACGTGGTGCGTAGGCCATCGCGTCGCAGCGCTGCCGTCCAAGGCGTCGCTCTTTGTCTTTGGCGGCGAAAGCATTGCCAGCGACAAACACGCCTACGAGAGCTTGGACGACGTCTACAGGGTTCAAATGGACGCCAACATCCTCACGATCGAAGCGGTGCGGTGACGCTGTCATAGTGTAGCGAGAGCTCTGCGTTGTAGATGCCGAAAAGGCACGAGGACGAGGTGCCGGCGCCGCGCGCGTGGCACTCGCTCACGCTCGTCAAGTATCGTCCCGCCCAAGACGCGACCAAGGCCAAGGGCCAGGCAGTGCCGGCGGTCGGCGAGCCCGACGAAGCGCTGTTGCTGCTCGGTGGGCGCAGCTCATCGGCGCCAGCGCAAATGAAGGACGCGTGGGTATACGTGACCGCGGACAAGGCCGACGAGCCGAGCGACGGAATTGCAGCGACGCACAAGTGGCTCAAACTGCCTGTATGGCAACGCGTGACGTAGCGGAACTGATGCGCAGTGTAGACGGATGGCGCGTCGCCACTTCCGCTCGCCCATCACTCGTGCGAGCAATTGCTCGGCGGCGAGAAGGTCCTCGTCTTTGGCGGTGTCAAAGGCGCAGGGTCCTCACACCTCAACGACGCGATCAACATTCTGGATCTCTCAACAGGCGCCGCGACGTGGAGCACGCTGGCCACATCGCCGCTTCTCGCGACCTGCTTTCACGTCGCCGTCGCCATGAGCGTCCCCGTCGATGCCGCCAATTCGTCCGACTACTTTCCTCAGGTTCCTCACACAGAATATCGCGATATAAAACTCTTCTTCTCGGTAGACAACCACGGACGCGGTGCCTCTTGACCGTATTCTGGTGCTTGGCGGCGTTGCGGCGGACGGAGCCGTCGAGAGTTCCACGTTTCTTCTGCTGAACGCTGCGACCGGCCACGTCGACCGCGTCACGGGCTGCTTGGCACTCCAAAGGTATGGTATACGCTTCTTCGAAGTACCCTAATCTCCACCGACATAGCTCGGTGGGCCACGCGCCGGTCGCATCGCCCGACCGGCGCAAGCTCTACCTCTTTGGCGGGACAGCGGGCCACAGCTGGCGCAACGCGACGTCGGTCGTGGACCTATGGCAGTACCAATACGAGCCCGCGCCGGATATGTCGCGCTTTGAGAAGATCCGCACCTTCCAGTACCCGAACGGCGACGTGTACATTGGCGAGCTCGACCCGGACACGGACATTCGGCGCGGCCTCGGGCGCTGCACCTTTGTCGACGGTCGCGTGTACGAAGGCCACTGGGCCGACGACGTCTTTGACGGACCTGGCGTCATGACGTACGCCAACGGAGACATCTACGATGGCGCGTGGCAGCATGGGACGCGCGACGGTCTCGGGAAGCTCACGATCGCGCCGTCGCCGTCGACCAATGTAGATATTTTCGCAAAATTGATATATTGTATCCTTATACGCGTGGCTAGGTGGCCTTTTACGAGGGCGCGTGGAAGGCCGACGCGCGCCACGGAAGCGGTGCCTTGGGCTACGTAAACGGGTCGCTTTTGCGCGGCACTTGGGCGTCCGACACCTTTGACAGCTCCCATGCGACGATCGAAGAGTTTGCTCTCGACAGCACCCGCCTCGGGACGTTCGAGGGCGAGGTCGAGAGTGCGACCAAGGCGCCCCACGGCCACGGCCGCTTCGAGACGCACGGGTACCCGTCGCGCGGCGAGATGTACGCGGGGCGCTGGGCCCACGGCAAGCGCGACGGGTTCGCCGACGAGAAATCATTCGCTCGTCTTCATGCGTTCTTGTGCGTAGCGAAGGGATGAGCATGCTCTACGACGGCACCATTTACCGCGGCGAGTTTAAGAACGGCAAAAAGAACGGGTTTGGCACGTGCGACTACGCGCGAACGCGGGACAAGTACGAGGGCAAGTGGGTCGGCAACCAGCGCTGCGGCCAAGGTGCGCTCGTTATCCCAATGCTTCGAGAAGCGCAATGCAGCGTAGGCAAGTGCACGTACGCCGCTGGTTTCGTCTACGACGGCCACTGGGCCGCCGACCAGCGCCACGGCTTTGGCCGCTGCACGTACGCGGACGGCACGTTCTACGAGGGCGAGTGGAAGAAAGACGACTTCACCGGCGACGGCGCCCTCGTGCTCTGCGACATGCGCGCGCCGCCGACGCCCGCGGACCGCGAGCTCTAAGGCGCCATCGAGCCTCTCCTAATGCTGCGCTTGTGTGTTGTTGTTGCTGCGTTGCGAGCTTCCCACAGACAGGCCGGCCAAATTGGGGCCGAATCTTCCGGATGTATAACCGGATGATTGTTATCCGGATGCGAGCAGTGTCAAGTCCCACAACGGAAGGAACGCGAGCAAGCAGACGCGCGATGGACAGCGAAACGCCGCCGCCGCCACCGCCGCCGCTGCCGGTGCTGCCCGTCGAGGAGCCTCCTCGCATGGAACCGCCTCATGCACCTGCCGTCGACGGCGAGAGCCCGCCACCGCCACCGCCTGCAGACACGCCACCTCCGCTGCCTGCCCTGTCCCCGTCGCCGCCGACCTCCAACGGCGTCGGCAGCTCGCCGGACGTAGCGGTCCCAGCGTCGCGCGTGGACGACGACAACGCGCCGGCTTCTGCCAACTACGATCCTCTGTCGTCCCTGCTACCGTCCAAGCCAGCACAGCGCCCCGGCCACGCGCCAAAGGTCGATGTCAACCCGCCGACGACCGCGTCGCGCGGCTACATGGGTCTTATCGAGAACTACACCATCATCGACAAGGTCGGCTCTGGCACTTATGGGTACGTTTTTTGAGTTCGCGCGTCTCTTCCTCATGCGCGCCAACAGGGAAGTGTACAAGTGCCAGCACAAGATCACCAAAGACATTGTCGCGCTCAAGAAGCTGCGCCAAGAAGTCGAGAAGAACGGGGTGCGTACATGATGGCCATCTACGCTCTCTCACGTGCAGCACTAGTTTCCCATCACGTCGATCCGCGAGATGCGCATCTTGAAGCAACTCAAGCACCCCAACATTGTCGAGCTCAAGGAGATCGTGTCCAAGCAAGGTAACGCGTCGCACGTCAGCGTCGTCGTTGACGTAAGGATAGAGGCGCCCAAGGACGGAAAGAAGCCGCCGCTGTACTTTGCCTTCGAGTACATGGAGCACGACCTCTCGGGGCTTCTCAACCACGAGAAGGTCCCTCGCTTCACGCGCACGCAGGTGCAGTGCTACATGCGGCAGCTGCTCACAGGTGTCGCCTTCATGCACGGGCACAAGATCATGCACCGCGACATCAAGGCCTCGAACCTCCTCCTCAACAACGAGGGCATGCTCAAGATTGCAGACTTTGGCCTCTCGCGCTTCTGGAACGAGGTGAACGCCAAGGGCGGCCGGTACACGAACAAGGTTGTGACGCTGTGGTACCGTCCGCCCGAGCTACTCATGGGCTCGCAGTCGTACGACTACTCGATCGACATTTGGTCGGTCGGCTGCATCTTTGCCGAGCTCATCCTCGGGCGCGCGCCCATGCAAGGCCGGAACGAGCTCGAGCAGGTGCGTGCGATTTGAAAGGCGCCTCTGACAAGGTTGATAGCTGCAGTGCATTTACGGCCTTGTGGGGGTCCCCACCAAAGACAACTGGCCCAACTACGACAAACTCCCGAACGCCAACGTGTTTACGCCGGACGCCAAGCACGTGCACCTGCTGCAGGACCGCTTCAAAGAGTGTGGACGCTCATATTGCGCAATCTCATAGTTTGCACCTAGTCACCCGCCGGCGACGGTCGACTTGCTCTCCAAGATGCTGACGCTGGACCCAACCAAGCGCATCACGGCCCTCGACGCGCTCGACCACGACTACTTTTGGAAGGTGCCGACCTGCAAGCCCCGCGAGTACGTTGTTTATGTGAAAAGGTGTTTGTAATCGGGGGACTAGGCTGCCCAAGTTTGTCGTCGCGTCGACGCACGAGTACCAGAGCAAGAAGCGCCAGCAGGAAGAGGCCAAGTACGACGCGCCGTCGAAACGCCACCACGCAGGCAACGCGCCCATGCCGGCGGGCCGCTCGTCGTACGCTGCGCCCGCCGCGTCCCGCCGCCTCCACCAACAGCCGCCGCACGACCGGTACGCGCGGTCACACCACGGGCGCCGCCGGTCCAACTCGCGCGAGCGCTAATGAAAACGATGGCGAGTAAATATGTTAAATCATCTTTCGTATGTTTGGGCAACCACGCCCGTTCGTGTTCTAGTATAAGTTATTAGACGGCCATGACGGAGCTCAAGCGCAAGAGGTCCTCGACGCTCTGGACCTTGACCATGGTCTCTTCGAGCATCGAGGCCATCTTGCTGTACGCTGGTGGCAGAGTCTCCGAGTCCGAGCCCGTCGACGACGTCGAAACGTAGTGCAGCTCGTGCTCGTCGTCGTCGGTACTTGGGCTCTCTGGCCGCAGAAAGGTCAGCTTGCACGTCACGTTGGTCTTCTTGAGAAACTTGCAGATCGTTCCGAACGGGACCGTCGCGACGCTGATGTCGTTGACGGCCATGAGCACGTCGCCCGTGCGCAAGGCGTCGATGCCGAGGGCCTCGCTGCCGCCCGTGAAGCGCTTGATGCGCGCGCCAATGTCGTTCTCGTCGCCAACGAGCGCCATCCCGAGGCGGTCGCCAGGGTTCCAGAGTACGCTGTGGGTCGCCGACGGAGCAGGCGCCGAGCGCAACGCGGCGCCGAGTTGCGCGAGCTGCCCCGTGAGGTCGCGCAGGTCGCTCGAAATGTCGTCGATCGTATCGTCCGACTCGGGCGCGTCGAGCGACGCGAGTGACGCCGAGCTGCCGACGTACGACGGCATTGTTCGCTGACTGTCAAACGCGCTGTGCGAGCTCATCGTCGATGCTTGGCTCGGACTTCGCCGGCTGCGCGCGTAGCTCTTGAGACTGGTATCGACCGACGGGGTGCGCGAGAGCGGGCCAGACTCGGACCGCAAAATCGAGCCACGCCGGTTGAGGCTGCTGCCAATGCTGCTCATGCGAGCGCCGAGGCTGGCGCGGCGGTCTGGGAGCGACACTGACTTTTTGAGCACGTTGACGCTGTGCTCGGGCAAGCGGTGCTTTCGGGCGAGCTCGGCGGGAAAGTAGCCGTCGCCGCTCTTGACAAAGACGGCGTCCGGGCACGCCAGCACGAGCACGTTGAGATGCAGCGCTGGCAGCTTGTTGGTGATGGCCACGTGGAGCGGCAGCATGCCAGAGAGGTTCTTGGTTTCGCACGCTTCGGGAAAGACCTTGATGAGCAGCTCGAGGATACTCAGGGGCACCGCGGGCTCGGTCACCGCCCAGTGCAGCGGCAGCATGCCAAACTCGTCGGCCACCATGATCGAGTGCGGGAGGTTCTCGGCGAGGTCGGCGAGCTCGGCCCAGTCGCCCTCCTCGGCGCGCTGCAGTGCCAGTTGGTGCATCGCGATGTGTACGCGCAGAGGCAATCTCGGAAATGGAAATTGCCGAGAAAAGCGCAAATTGGGTGCAAATTTTAACGCATCCGGATAGCGAACCACCGGATGCAGCATGCGTTTTCAAGGAATATGCCTTCTCGAGGGTTGGGATATCTTCCGAGAGGGCCCGACGGGTTGGACGTCGTGCATCCTGAAGCGTCCTAGCTTCCCAAGGAGCGCAGCTGTGCGCAAGACTCGAAACGAAGCGCCTCGCATCAAGTCAGGTGTCAGTCCGACCCGCGACATAAAATATTTGATCGCTGTGACCAAACAAATATATCGACTCTCACTTCACGCTAGTAGACTAGTTGACGCAGCCAACGAGGCCGACGACTGGCGTACCGTCGACAACCGTGCTGGAATCTGCCGGCAAGAACTGTGGCTACGCGCAAGATACTCGAGCGCTGCGAGTATTCCGTGCGATCTGAAAATGGATTGGGACACGGCGGTATGCGTTTATAGAGGTGATTGCGGCGAATCATCCGGATAAAAGTGATGGGCGTGGCACCATCTGCAGCGATTATGTCGGAGTGAGTCACGAGAGGGTACCTCGGGCTTTGGGCTTTCTTTGGCGAGCGGCGCAGCGACGAGCCTTGGGGACGACTGCGACGCGCCAAGCTGTCGCACGTATCCACCATTCCTACGGCTTGATCGCGTCGGTTCAGCGCGAGTAGCTCCGCCGTCAGACCCACTTTGCCCATTCAACGGTCGGCAGGCCTCAAGAAGTGCAGGTCGCGCCAGCTGACGCACGATTGGCTACTCCAGCGAGGGTGACAAGCACGACCATTCGCAGCGCCAAAAATGAAGCCACCGAATTCCTCCACTGTACCCAACCACCAAGATCGATGGTGGGCAGAGGACATCAACATAGACACGTATGTACTTGTATCGGCCGAGGAGGACGACACTCTACTGCGCAAAGGCGCGGAGACGCTCGTCGATCCATTGCACGGGCGCGTACTCGAGCTTCTTTCCGCGGGCTTCGCGAACGTAAAACACTAGGATCGCCGCCGCGCTACATCACACAGTCTAATCCAGTCGCCACTAAGAAGTGAGATTCTCACCGGCCGAGAAAGATGGTGGCGAGGATGACGCCAAACATCGCGTCGAGGGACATTTGGAGCATGCCGCTCTGCACGACCATTTGCAGCTGCATCGGCGACGACGTGCTTGCAATGATGAGCGACCGGGACATGAGGGCGGGGGCGCTGCCATAGTAGCACCAGTGCCAGAAGCTCCACATGTCGCCGTACGAGACACAGATACCGCTGAAGAGCAACCCGGACCCGAGGAGGAGGAAGACGACGCCGTACACGGGCGGCATACTGTTGGACAGTGCGCAGGCAAAGCAGATGAGCGACTGCCACGCCGACGTGCCGAGGATGAAGATGAGGTAGAGCGTCAAGATGGAGCGGACCGAGAGGTCGTCCCACGAGTGCCCAATGAGCGCGACGCTGAGGAGCAAGACCGAGTTCATGACGGCTTTCGGGGTCTCGATCAGGAAGAGCGCGTAGACATACGAGTAGAAGCTGATCGCATTCGACTTGCGCTCCATCTAGGACGCAAAATGACCAACAGAATCGTCGACTAGGATAACCTCGAGGAGCGGCCGCTCGATAAAGTACTCTGGGATGATCTCGAGGTACTCGAGCACCATGCCGTACGCTCCTAGTGCCACGTCATGTCCATGATACCTCGCTCATTTGATGCAATACCGATCGTGAACATGAGCATCACGTTCTGATACAAGACGCCGTAGTCGCGCAGCACAAGCTTGTCGGTCGCCGAAATCGTCGGGTTCTGCATCAGCTGCGTCATGGGCGACTGCACACGGTGAATGAGCCATTTCGGTCCTCAGGCGAGACATCGTACATAGGAAAAGGCCGTCGTGATGATGATCGCGACCAAGAGCGTCTACCGCCAGCATGTCGACCAGTGTCCGAGGAGGAAGGAATGTACTTGGAGGTTGCGGAGGAGGACGTCGAGGCGCTTGGTGTACACGCGGCTGTACCGGCGCTCAAAGCACGTCCACGTCTGAACGTGGAGCCACGATTGCTTGGGCGTCTTGTAGCTCGTGTGGTCGTCGTCGTGGCCGTACCGAGCAAGAGACCGCATCATCTGCTGGTACAAGTCGGAGGCCTGCCATTGCGACAGAAACGGCGACGCTACACCCGCGATAACTTCTGTGGGTGGAGAGGGGAAGCGTACCAGCGTTGGCCACAAGGGCCACCTGCGTCGACTCTCGCTCCGGGTCGAGCCCCAGCGCGTCAATGATAAAGTCAGCGGGGTTATCGTACGACTCGGGGCGACGGGGCAGCGTCGGAATGCCGCTCAAATGGCCGACGACCTCGGTCTGCGGCCCGCAGTAGATGGCGAACCCGCCCTTTTCCATGAGCAGCACCTACGACTCGATGGTTTCGCACTGCCACACTCGTAGAGCTCGTACGTCGTCAAAGAGCTGGAAGATCTCGGCCCGTGGCTGGTGGATCGTCGAGATGACCGTGAGTCCCTGCGTCGACGCGAGCTGCGCGAGCATTTGGACGAGGAGGAGCGACGACGTGGCATCAAGACCGCTTGTGGGCTCGTCCAGCAGCAGCACCGACGGCAGCCGCAGAAGCTCTGTTGCGATCGAGAGCCGGCGCTTTTGGCCGCCCGAGAGACCTTTGATGCCGCTGACGAGGCCACCGATGGGCGTGTTGGCGGCGTCATAGAGCTGGACGATCTTGAGCACCGTGTGGACGCGGCCGATCTTTTCGCGCAGGCTGAGCGTGTCGGGAAGGCGCAAATAGGCCGAGAAGAGGAGGCTCTCGCGCACCGTCAGCGTCTACGAACGTTTGCGCCGAGCTTTCCAGGCTCTGTAGCGTACCTCAATGAACGTGTCGGTCTGCTCGACGTAGCCTTGCGACGACATGAAGGTCGCAAAGTCCTTTGGCGCGACGCGGGCGTTGTTGAGGAGGCGATGGCCGTAGTACCGCCCCGAGTAGACGCGGCCGCTCAAGAGGTTGAGGAGCGTCGTCTTGCCCGAGCCCGACGCGCCCTACTCGCATCCTACGAGACGCAGGCGCGAAGAGGCGCATACCATGATGGCCGTGAGCCGCTGCGGCCGGAACGTGCCCGAGACGTCGTGCAAGATCTGCTTCTCCGCCCTACGCCTAGTCAATACCTTGGCTGTTGGTGTCGACGAGATGTACCCGGCGCCGTCGGCGGCAAAGTACGAAAGGTACGCGAACGAGAGCGTGTACGAGGGCAGCGGCCCCATCGCATCCAAAGCCAGCGCCTTCTGCTGCGTCTCGTGCTCTGGGCACACAACACAGTGGGTTACGGACGAGTTACGGGATCGTACCGAGAAGTGCAATCTCGGCGCGGACGCGGACGTGGAAGCGGTGGCTGCGGAAGAAAGCGTAGACCGAGAAGAGGCAGATGACGAGCACGACAATGAACGAGACCGCGAGAAGCCCGTTGCTGTACTGCGTCTCGACGCCCGAGAGCGACGACGTGGCGTTGGCAAACACGAGGCGCGCCTCGTCCACGTGGCAGTTGGCGAGCGCCAGCGCGTTCGCGAGCTGGTCCATCGCGTCTCTTGGTGGTGGATCTTCTTGTCAACTGACGCCTGTCTGGAGCGAGCGAAACGACTCGGATACGATCTGAGGTCAGTGATCCGCTCCGCAGCGTGTCGACGGTGCATCTCGTGAAACAGCTAATGCGGTGCTTGGTGCGATGAAGAGACTGAGGTTTCGCGATGCAAGGGAGTAAATATGAGGAAATAAAAGTAATCTAATAGGGTTTTAGTATGGGCAAGCCCAGCACTAGAGCAACACTACGCAGATTGCATTTACTTCTTCTTGCCGCCCTTGCCGGCAGCCTCCTTCTTGACAACGCCGTGGATGACACCGACGGCGACCGTCTGGCGCATATCACGGACGGCGAAACGACCGAGGGGCGGGTACTCCTGGAACGACTCGACCGTCATGGGCTTCGTCGGCTCGAGGATGACCAAGCAGGCATCACCCGACTTGACGAACTTGGGGTTCTCTTCGAGGACCTTACCCGAACGGCGATCCATCTTCTGCGTGATCTCCTTGAACTTGCAGGCGACGTGGGCCGTGTGGCAATCAAGCACCGGCGAGTAGCCGTTGCCGATCTGGCCGGGGTGGTTGAGGACAATCACCTGGGCGGTGAAGTTCTCCGTGCCCTTGGCGGGGTCGTTCTTCGAGTCCGAAGCGACGTAACCACGGCGGAGTTCCTTGACCGACACGTTCTTGACGTTGAAGCCGACGTTGTCACCCGGGACAGCCTCGGGGAGCGACTCGTGGTGCATCTCGACCGACTTGACTTCCGTCTGGAGGCCGACGGGGCCGAACTGGACGACCATGCCGGGCTTGAGGACACCCGTCTCGACACGGCCGACCGGGACCGTGCCAATACCGCCAATCTTGTAAACATCCTGGAGCGGGAGGCGGAGGGCCTTGTCGGTGGGGCGCTTGGGCGGGTTGAGGTTGTCAAGCGCTTCGAGGAGGCACGGGCCCTTGTACCAGGGCATGTTGCCGGACTTCTCGATCATGTTGTCGCCCTCCCAGCCCGAGATCGGGACGAACGGGACCTTGGCGGGCTTGTAGCCGACCTTCTTGAGGTAGTTCGAGACTTCCTCCTTGATTTCCTCGTAACGGGCCTGGCCGTACATGACCGACGAGTCGTCCATCTTGTTGATGGCGACGATCATCTGGCGCACACCAAGCGTGAAGGCGAGGAGCGCGTGCTCGCGCGTCTGGCCCTCCTTGGAGATACCGGCCTCGAACTCACCGACACCCGAGGCGACGACGAGGATGGCGCAATCGGCCTGCGAGGTACCCGTGATCATGTTCTTGATGAAATCGCGGTGACCCGGGGCGTCAATGACCGTGAAGAAGTACTTGGGCGACTCGAACTTCCAGAGAGCAATGTCGATCGTGATACCACGTTCGCGCTCGGCCTTGAGGTTGTCAAGGACCCAGGCGTACTTGAACGACGACTTGCCGAGCTCGAGGGCCTCCTTCTCGAACTTCTCGATCGTACGCTTGTCGATACCGCCGCACTTGTAGATCAAGTGGCCGGTCGTCGTCGACTTGCCGGCATCGACGTGACCGATGACGACGAGCGAGATATGGATCTTTTCCTTGGGCATCTTGTGGCTTCTGCAAAGGGAAATGGAGAATGACTCGAGGGGCGAACGCGCCGGCGCCGGAACCGCAGAACCAGTAGTTTGAGGCGCGACAGGTGATTGGCTGCGATCCTACGGATACGCGACAGCAGAGCTGCAGTTCGTATGCCCACCTCCGGATACGCCCGCCCCACACACCAAATGACTGGTGAAAATGCGCGCGCGCTAATTGGCCAACGACCCAAACCAGGGGTCGGGATGCGCGCCGATTGGCCCGAATGTGTGGCCGCCATCGGCGCCGCCCTGTCGCTTGCGCCGCGTGGGTGGCCCCGATGCGCCCGCCAATGGGATCCCGTCATCGGCGGCGTCGGATTACGAGCGACACGCTCGCCGCGACCTCGCTCGACCTGCATGCGATGGCTTCCGCAAGTACGTAGTGGCTGCCTCGTGGTCATGGCACCTGCACTCAGTGCTGGCAAGAAAGAGCCCGCGCCTGCGTGGTCATGCACCTGCTGCGACCAAGATCTTGTAGCCGAGAAATCGGGCGGGTCTGATGTCATCAAGCGGGCACGCCAAGCGTTGTCATCGGGACGTGACGGGCGGGGCTGGTGCGCTTGCGTTGGCAAAAGCATGCACAGGCTACGAAAGCGCAAGCTACATTGCAGAGCGAGGTGCGGATCCTACGGCTGTTGCATCCATCGTCATCGAGTACCACCGGTCACGATGGTTGAGATCTTGGACAGCTTCTTGGACTCTTCCGTGTGGCCGTTGGTGCATTGAGCTGCAACGACTACACTGCATGCACTCACGTTACAAGCTGCTGCACGCTTGCGACGGTAGCTCCCGACACAGCGAGGTGGCATGCTGCCACTGGATTTTGACTTCATCAACCTTCATGCTCGTGTATCCGGATCCGCAAGCGTGGCCGCACAAACCAACACGATGGCGAAGCCCAAGGTGCGTACGGCGATCGCGATGCTCAACATGGGCGGGCCTGCGACCCTTCCGGAGGTCCCATCCTTCCTCAAGAACCTCTTTTCGGACCCGGAGATCATTCCGCTCGGGCCCTTCCAGAGCATCCTCTCGGACGTCATCTCCAAGCGCCGGTCGCCCAAGATCGCCGACCAGTACGCTGCGATCGGCGGCGGGTCGCCCATTGGCCGCTGGACCAACCACCAAGGCGACGCGATGTGCAAGATTCTCGACGAGATCCGCCCCGAGAGCGCGCCGCACAAGCACTACGCCATGTTTCGCTATGCCAACCCGCTCACGGAAGCGGCGCTCAAGCAAATGAAGGACGATGGCGCGGAGCGTGCGATCGCCTTCTCCCAGGTACAACCGACTTGCATTGCGACGTGGTGCAGAAACGAGAGATGTGTAGTATCCGCAATGGTCTTGCACGACGACGGGCTCGAGCATGAACCACCTCTGGCGTGAGCTCAAGCGCTTGGACATGGGCGAGACGTTCGAGTGGTCGCTCATTGACCGGTACGTCGCCATCCGTAGCCCTTCGGTGCAGTGTTGATCCGCCTCATGTAGCTGGAACACGCACCCTGGGTACATTGCGGCCTTGTCGCAGCGCGTGAAGCTCGGTTTGGAGCAGTTTGCGCCCGAAGACCGCGAGAAGGTCCGGTCTCTTCTCGCAGCGCACCTCGTCATGTCGTGTGTGTAGGTCGTGATCATGTTCTCGGCGCACTCGGTGCCGATGAAGGTCGTGTACAAGGGCGACTCGTACACGAAGGAGATCGCGTCGACGAGCGAGCACGTCATGAAGCACCTCAACCTCCCCAACGCCCACATCCTGAGCTGGCAGTCCAAGGGTACGCCCTCGACGTTGTGGGATAGCTGATAGACGCCTTTCCTAGTCGGGTATCTTCCGTGGATGGGCCCGAGCACGAGCGACGTGATCAAGGGCCTCGCCCGCCAGGGCCACAAGTGCGTATCTGCAGTCTCGCGAGAGCAGGAGGACTCACCCTCAACGTAGGCACGTGATGGCCGTCCCCGTCGCGTTCACGTCGGACCATATTGAGACCCTCTTTGAGATTGACGTTGAGTACGCCGAAGAAGCCCACGAGGCTGGCATCGAGCACTTCAAGCGCAGCCCGTCCCTGAACGACGAACCGCTGTTGGCCAAGGCGATGGCGGACCTTGTCAAGGACCACTTGGACTCGGAGACGCTGCACTCGCCGGCCTACCCGCTCAACTGCCCGCAGTGCGAGAACCCGACGTGCCGAAGCATCATGAACCCGATCAAGCCGTACGCGCGTCTGCGCGACGTGGCCTCGGGCGTTGCGACGCCGCAGCAGGTGGCCGACTTGCAGTAGAGAGCGACAGACAATAGAAGCACATATGCACGACACACACTAATACGTGTCTTATTCCTGGTGTATTCGTGGTTGGCCGAGAGTAAGGAGGCCGCTGATCTAAAGGCGCGTGAGCTCGACGTCGCTGACGGTGCGCTCCAAGACATCTTCGGGCGCCGTGTCCAAGGGGCCGGTCTCTGTTCTTCTGGGGGTGTGGCGCTCCTTGAGCACCTCGGGCTTGGGGATGATCGTGCCCGTCTTCTTCGACACGCGAAGACGCTCGCCTTCCTCCGAAAAACGGATGGCAATGCGCGTGGGCTTGCTACAGAGGACGCCATTGAGCAAGCACGCGAGCCATCTATTTCGTACCCAATGGTCTCGTCGACCAGGTTGACGTTGCTGTAGTGGATCGGGCCAGGGGCCAAGTAGATGCGACCGGGGGCGACGCCGGGCTTGGCCTTGACGTAGCGGTGGCGCTAGCATTGCACGGTCACCATAAGTATCCTGTCATGGCTTGAGGCCGCAGCGTACCATGTTGATGTCCTCGAGGATCAGGCTGTTCTTGGCGCGGACAACCTCCTTGACGACGCCCTGCTTGCCCTTGTGGGGGCCGGCCACGACTTCAACCTACGGCGAGTGAGCATTCGCAGGCGCAGGGCGGCGCGGACCTTGTCGCCGCGGAAGATGTTCCACTTGGGGATCTCGGCGATGAGCTTCTCGCGCTTGGGCATCTTGCGCATCGCGGCAGGCATACGGAAGGCCATCGTTGACGTCTTGGGTTTTTGCCGATTGCTTTTGCCAACCAACGATGCCCAGCTCGGTAAAGTCCGGTTCGGATCCTCGCTCTCGGTCTTCGAACCGGTTAGCTGGTCTTATTTGAAATAGTGTGACTTGTTTGGGTTCAAATACACAGTATTTAAGGGAGAGGGAAAACACTATTTGTTGGCGATCCTGCCATGCAAGCAGCGACGGCGCGGGCCGCGGTCGACGAGTGCTATCGCCATTGCGACAAGCTTCGGAAGGGTCATCATGCTGGTAGAGCCGAAGCCATAGGCTCATGAGGTGCGTAGGCTACCTGGACAAGGACGAGCTCAAGTGGGCCGTCACAGCCTTGCTCGGCAGCACGCCCACCAAGGTGCGCTTGAATCGACGATCTTGCAGGCTGACGTATGGCATGTAGCTCGTGCTTTGCCAGATGTTCGAGGAGCTCCGAGCTACGTACCCGGACGTCAAGGTGCCACGCGACCGGTTCATTTCAGTCATCTCGAGCCGCGTCCTGAACATCGACATCACCGAGACGCTGCGCCGCTGGTTCATGGCCTTTGACTCCGCGTCGCAGGGCTACATAAACTTCGAGAGCTTCTCGAACGCTTGCGCCCAGGTCGTGCCGCACATGCGCCCCAGCGTCGTGCACGAGCTCTTCCGGGAGGCCGACACGAATAGCGACGGCAAGGTACGCCGACTCGAGTATACCCTGGCTACCATCCCTGGCACAGGTGACGTTCACTGACTTTGAGCGCGTCATGCTCATCTCGATGACGCTGCCGCCTTGATGTGCATCAACAAAAGAGTGTATATCGATGATACGCTAAGTGGGAATGTCGGGCGGTGGTCGCGTCGGGTACGTTCGCATGACGGTGGCAAAGTCGCCCTAGTACAAGGCATGAGCTCTGGGGCGTGCCGAGTGTATCGTACGGGCTTGATCTCGTGCTCGCCCTGGTCGTTCTCTTCGCCGCACATGTTGAAGATGCGCATGATGGTGCGGTCGTCGCAGGTCGGATCGAACTTTTTGATCATCGCGCCAAACTCTACAGAGCAACCCGGTCGCTTTTTGCTCGGCTGAACCAACAGACCTTGGTACGCGAGCACGCCGTTGCCGTCTTCGTCGGCTTGCGCAAACAATAGCGTGAGACTCTCGTCGACGCTAAGTTCCAGATCGAATTGCACCACAGTGTCGTCGATTGTGGCGTGCGTACTGGGCTTGGTAGTCGTACCAGACCGTCATGACGCAGTCCAGAACGTCGTCGAAACTGAGAAAGACGTGGTGCGGGTCCAGCACAAGCGCCTTGGAGGTGCGCTTCTTGGCTGGTCGCTCGCAGATGGACGGCAGCGCCACGATACGCGCCTCGAGGTCGGCGAGAAATACGACAGGTGTGTACGGAGGAAAGATCGCGTGCGCGAGGTCCTTGGCGATGTACAGTGGCACCTGCCCCACACAATAAGTACACAGATTTGTCCATAATGTTAGTTCGCACGTAAGTGGGTTTCGAACCGTCGCCCAAACGTGTTTCGATCTCGGGCGTTGGCATGAGCAGCGTGAGCGCTTGCAGATACACGTCGATGGCCTGCGCGTTGTAGAGCTCGGGCGTCGCGCCGAGGAGGATCCCAAACCACTTGGCGCGCGAGCTATCCTTCTCAATCTACCTCTACCTGAGATATACTGATACCTTGATACAAAACGACCTTTTTGACGCCAGCGACGAGACTGCCAATGCGCTTTTGGCTCGCCGACTTGAGCCCGAGCTCCTGAATATAAAAGTCCTGGACGAGCTCCGCGAGCGAGACACGGTCGAGGCCCGAGTTGTCGTCGATCTGGTCACATAGAATTTTGCGCACGTAGAGCTTGGCGATCTCGCGTAGGACGTCCGGCCGCTCCATCGCCGCGCCGAGCCGTCGGCGCTTGACGATATTGCTCAAAATGTTGTGCCGCTTCTTGAGTTTGGCGGTCGCGACCGTCGCTGCCGGTACAGCCATGTCTGTCCCAAGATGTGGGACGTCGCGCAGAAATCGCCGGTGTACCTGTCTGCGCCGCGCTCGAGGCCATTTTCCGGAACGCAACGGGCGCCGAGTCGAGGTCTTCGAACCGGATGGCTTGCATGAGCTGTCGGTTCGTCGTGAGGAGCGACGAGATGAGCGTCGGGTTCGCCTCCAACGGCTCCACGAGCAGGTCGGGAAAAGCCGCAAAGAGCGTCGAGAGCAGCCTCGGCTGCCGATGCGCAATGTCCACCAGCGTCTCGGGGCTCTTCTCCAAATACTCGCTCAGCGCCTAAACCGTCGAAGGATCAACATCGATCCGCAACGTGCTCTACCTGGGGGCAGTGGGCTAAGATCGCACTGAGACAGTCGTTCGTGCTTAGCACCGCAGCCACGGCGGGCGCGTGCGCCGTGCACACGTGCGTCAAGTGCACGGGCGACTCGGTCACCACCTTGCCAAAGGTCACTTTGGCATTCACGAGGACGTCCGAGAGGATCGCTGGCGTTGCCTTGACGACGCCCGGCAGCAGCGTCGGTCGGTTTAGCAGCACGTCGCGTAGAGCTTTGGGTGACTTGACGAAAAACTCCTCGAGAGCGAGCTACGATCGCATCCTTCGCGCCTCATTCTTGCAACGGAGACATACGTACCACGTTGTCTTTGAGAGCCAGCATCAAGACGGACGCGAGCGCTTCCTGCTTGCGACCGAGGTACATGGCGATCGCCGTGCGGTGCTGGTCCACGACCTGCTCGAGCACTTGGTGTTGCGGCGACGCCTACACCCGGTCATCAGAATCGAAAGTCGACCGCGCAAAGAACCCGAAGAATGCTGCTCAAGAGCGACGGAGCCCGTGCAAAGAGGTCGGCAAAGGCAGTGCTATGGCGCTCGAGAAGTCGCTGGACGCAGTCGCTGCCGTTGAGCGCGTCGTCGAGCGTCGCGTCGTGCTCGTCGAGGAAGGTCACGAACGCCCGCGGCTGGGCAGCAAACAACACGCGCAGAAAGCCCTGCACCTCAAAGCTCGAGCGCGACGCGGCCATCGCACGCAGGAGCTCGACTTGGTCGAAGCCGTCGCAGCTGCGGACGACGTCGCGCAGGTAGGCCAAGCCGAGCTTCGACTGCGGCAAATGGTTGCTCACGACGTGCAGCATGAGTCGGTGCTTCTCGTCGTCGTCCTAATCATCTGCATCAGAGGCAGTAGACGCTACGACAAGCGCCTACGCGGACATCGGCGATGATGCGCGAGATTTTGTGTCCTGGCGGCGCGGCTTGGTAGACTTCGTGCGCCTGAAGGCTCTGCGCGTGGTGGCCAATCGTGGCTTCGTGCTCCCGCGTGCGCTCAAAGTAGAGCATCCTACGCGCGTTGTGAGCGACGCATCGACGTTCAACGGCGAACGGGTGGCGGTCGCTGGACGTGCCGGACACGAAGAGACCTCGCTCGAGCACGAGCTGGAGCACGCGAAGGAGGCGGCCGTGGGCGGGCAGCGCGTCTGCGAGCTTGCTCAAGCAGTCCAAGGCGACGAGGATCGCGATCCGGTTGGGCTCGTTCTCGTTGAGCGCCGTTGCCTTGAGCACGTCTACGCACACGGGTGATGCCGTTGCATTGAAGTTGGCGCGTACACGACTCTTCCATGTGGGCGTTGACCGCGTCCCAGAAGGATTCGATCTCGGTCGTCGACGCTTCGTGGCGCAGCGTCCACTCGTCCACGACGTCGTACAAAACACTGTTGCTGCTGCTGGCAGTGCTACGCCCAGGCTTTAGATCGCTCCATACTACTCCATTTGGCCTACGCGGGGTCGACGCAAAAGTAGTGGTCCAGGAGAAACTGGGTTTTCCGCCGATACGCCTCTTGCCCGAGCGCCAACGAGGCGCGGCGTCCGTCCTGGTCGCGCCGAAGCGCCGCCATCTTGGCCTCGAGCGCGTGGATGTCGACGTGGTACATGCGCGCGAGCATGCAGGCCTTGATCTCCAAGTGCTCGCGTGACGACGTATCGAGGCGCAGTGTCGCGTGCTTGGACGAGGGAGGGTCGTCGGGCGCGACGATTTTCTTGACTCCATCCTGGCGCGGCGTCGTGCGCGGACGCGGCCGGGGGCTCGACGGACAGTGAATGCGCGGCATCTGCGCAGAGTGCAGCTGGCTCGTGTACACGTTGACCTTTGAGGCGCAGGGTAACTGGACTTTGGCGAGCTTGGCGAGCATCGACGTGTCCATGACCGGGTGCGGCGACGGCGGCTGCTGGGGCACCATGACCTGGTAAAAGTTGGGCGACCGCGGCGCGGCGGTCGCAGCGCGCGGCGCCGACGCCTTTTGCACAAAGTCCACGACGGCCTTGGACGGCACGGGCTGCATGTGCAAATCAGATTGCCCTATTCTTAGCGCTCATGTCGTATGCAAACGGCAGCGCACCGAAACGTCCGTTCCGTTTACTGCGCGCAGGGCCTGCCACGTCACGACGATTCCACCCCATGGAATCCTGGCACATGCGACAAAACCTCTGACAAAAGCTACTGGCAGCTACTACAGTCTCCCATCGCGAAAGACTGGCTTTGAGTAGCACAGTTAGTAGCCTGCACCGAGGTCTATAATGTAATTAGTTTATAATAGGGCGTCGATCTACGTCGAGAGCGTCCGCGTCCGCGTGAACGCCTTGCCAATGTTGCCACCGGGGTGGTTCTTCTTGAACGTGCAGCGCTTGATGCCCGTGAGGGCGACGACTGACTCGGCGACCGCGTTGCAGACCGACTCCTGCGTCACAATGCTCCGCGTCGGAACGCTGTCAAAGAGCCAGTCTTCGGCCGGCGTGTAGATCGGGAAGTCGCTCGCCTTGAAGAGCGGACTGTCTTCGTTGCCGACGAGGCAGAGCACGTCGACCTCAAACTCGCGGAAGACGTCGGGCAAGTGAAGGAGCTCGGGCGTCTTGCCGCTGTTGGAGATGAGAATGACCACGTCGCCCGGGTACAAATTGCCGAGCTCGCCGTGCGTCCACTCGCTGCCGTGGATCCACTGCGACGGCACCGAGAGCGACGCGAGTGTCGACGCAAAGCGCCGGGCGACGATGCCCGACTTGCCAATGCCGCTGAGGTACACGCGGTTGCGGTTCTCGCGGCACTGCACGATGCGCGACACGAACGCCTGGAACTGCGCAGCATACTCGAGGTTCGTAAAGAGGCGGCGCATGTGCTAACACGAGATAAGTCATTCTGACAGACACGGATAATTCGCATACCAGGAGCGCGTCGATGTCGCGCGTGAGCGACGCGTTCGGGCCTTCGATCGCGCGCAGCACCGTCTCTTGGTCCACCGAGAGGCGCTTCGGGAGTGGGTGGAACGCCAGCGGAATGAACTTTTGGACGCGAAAGAACGACTCGTCCGTCGGGAGCGCGCCGAGCGTCTCGCAGCACGCGGCCCGGGTCGCCCCAGCCAGCTTGCCAATGCGCACGGCGCTGTCCGTGTCTTCTGGCATGCCCCAGTGGTGGAAACCGGCGATGAGCCCGCCAAAGAAGGCGTCTTCCGCACCCGCAGCGTCCGTCAACGAGACGTTCGACGGCAACGGAATGACAGCCGAGAAGCTCTTGCCGCCGCCGAGCTTGTACGCGATCACGGCGCCCGCCGCGCCGTCCGTGATTGCCACGAACGGGACTTGGAACTTTTCGCGCATGCGGATCGCAATCTCGTCGGCAGACGCAGACGGGTCGTTGGTGAGCTCTTTCGCTGCCTCCAGCGTCGCCTTGACTACCGTGCTCTTGGCGATGCAGCGCTCGAGGGTCTCCCAGTCGCCAAGCTCGGCTTCATGAATCGCGACAGACGGAAGGAGGGCCACGTCGAGAAAGCGCATTGAGCCTGCGTGGGATATGAGTGTTGGATGATGTAGTGAGTCGATGGCACGCACCAGCATCCGTGGCGATGTCGAGCATCTCTTCGACTGAGGCCAGAGGCACTTGGTTGATCTCGAGCGAGACGGCCTTGGCCTTCTGGATCGGCTCGGAGAAGAAGAGCTTCATGGCGTTGGAGGGCAGCTCCATCATGGAGCCGGGCGATACGATCGAGCACTTGTCGCCCGTCGAGCTCACGAACGTCTGGCACACAGAGCTCTCAAACTCGTCCTTCTGGACCATGTAGTCGGTGCTGATGTTGTGCTTGCGCATGGTTTCGCGGATCATGTCGCCATACTTGTCCGCGCCCTGGTCACACCGGCGTCATGCACTGATACGCCGTCGAGCTATCATTTCTACCTGCAGCGACAAGAGGCTCGAGTTGACGCCGAGCACTTGGACCCAGGCCGAGTGGTGCAGCGCGCCGCCCGTGACAATCTCCTTGGGCGCTGTCTTCTTCTACATACACCGAAGCTACTAAGATGTCATGGCTTACGCCAGCGATTCGTACCGAGTTGAAGACGGTGGCGTGGGCCGCCGGGAGGCGCTTGACGTGGCTGACGACGTCGACAAGCGACGAGCCGCAGGAGAGGAGGTCGAAGGCGCTGGTCGAGTGCGACCGGCGCAGGACATGGTGCATCGAGGACGAAGGAGCGGGCCAGACCATGTCCATGAGCAGGTGAAATTGGATATGGCGCTGCCGTCGAAGCCGTTGGAAGCCACGTTCATGCCCGCGGGACATGTTACGGTGTTGACCAACCAAGATTTAATGTCAATATTTTATTGATTTCACCACCGGAAGCTTCGTATTCGTATGCGTATGAATTAAAATACACCGTATCCTGGCATTAAAAGAGGTGGTATGGCTGAAAACCTCCGTGGAACTCATTGGGTTTGGCCATTGACGCGTGCGTCTGATTGGCCATGTCCAGTATCGATGAAGGAATATTACCCAATGAGAAGGCGAGATTACTCAACCGGCAGCGTGGCGGGTGATGAGGTTACACACCAGATTCGGTTGACTGGTTCGAGTGACGTGGATTTCCAGCGCACATGGTCTTCAGCATGGGACTTGGTCTTCATCGAGCTTCGACCCGCAAGAGAAGGTCGCGACCGTGCGCCTTGTGCCCTGATCTGGCGCGCCCATTGGATCTCGTACGACGGCTGGTGAAGACAAGCCAGATAATCACATCATCACGGCGCGGTGGCAAACGAGGGAGGCGCACGAATGCGCAGTAATTTGACTGGAACTGTCCACAGACGAAAGATGGGCAAATATCCTCCCAGTTTCGGGCGCCGACCTTTCTGGGCCGCCTTTTCCGACCGCGCACGCGTGGTCGTGCGCCGGTACGATTGGCCAAAATACTTCCTTTTAGCCAATCCAAAGCGCGAATGTTGGCGTCCTACAAACACGCAGTGTAATGGCGATGGGACTTTGCAGTGGCGCCACACAAGCACGCATGGTCGGGCCCGGTACCAACCACAAGGCGAAGCGAACGCACTGGGACGACGAGATCTTGGAGAGCGCGACCGTCGGGGCCACGTGCACGCAAGGTCTCTGGGTCGAGTGCGCGCTGTGCATCGACAAGGCTGGACAGCCCGCGCGCATTGCGAGCGACAATCCGTTTGGCCTCAAAAAATGGAAGCGCCACGAAGCGAGCAGGGTGCACCTGCGCCACCTCGGCGAACTGGAGGGCGACGTGTCGACGACCACGGTGGCGACTCTCCTCGAGCTCTCGGCAGGTGGGCTGCAGTGTCCGGGTATGTACAACGGCGAGGCCCAGCACCTGCGGTTGATGATGCAGTTTGGCGACATCAAAGACAACCGCATCGAAATTATCGTTGACGACGAGCACGCTGGCGCCTTCAGCCTCGGGTGCGCTAAGACGGCGTATGCCCGGCGCTTCGCGCGCAAAAAGTCGACCAAGCACCAGATGAAGCGTGCGTGCGCCGCCTGCTTTGCGCTCGCGGGCGACGTGTGCGACAGCTTTTGCAAGCGCGTCGACAAGATGGTGCGCGTCGAGCTCGTGCTGGACGCGATGCTGTCGGGTGAAACCAACGCCGCCGCGCGCAAGGCGATCGTCGACTTTACAAGGAGCAACCAAAAGGCCAACCCGAACTGGAACCATCTCTTGGCAAAGGCCAAAGCGTACAAGCAGTCCGTCGCTCGTGACGATAGTCTAGTACGTGGCTAAACTACGTGATCTTGGTCTCAATCGCACGCAAAGCGATGCCAATGCACCAAATCCGCAACGCAGCAGAGCTGCCGGAGGCCATGTCATTTCTATTATGGCAGCCAATCAGACGACGGCGTTTCGATCCAAGCATTTTGGCCAATGAAATGAGAGCTTGAATCCGGAAATGCTCCGGGTTTGAACTCCGGCTGGGATTTCCGGAGCCAGCCCGAAAACAGACAGCGCGATGGAGAAGCAGCTCCTGGTCCGGCTCGAGCAAGCATGGAGCTCGTCGGACGTCGGCGCGTTCTTGGACGCGCCCAAGCTCACGGAGATCATGCCTCACTTCAGCCTCATGGAGCCAAGCGCGAAGGTCCGCCTCCTCATGGCACTCCAGGTCGCCCAGCAGGAGCTCATGCGCCAGCACCTGTCGCGCGAGCGCCACTTGAACCCGCAGGCATCGTCGGGCGGCGTCGTGACCTCTGCCGGCCTGCCAATGCACCTTCTGAAGCAGATCTTGGCTCTTGCCGACTCGGACGCGGACGAATGGGTCAAAATTGGCTCCGGGCTCGTGCGCAAAATGCTCTTTCCGGCAGTGGGCACCGAGAGCGACTTCTTCAACGACTACATGGCGTCGACGCTCAAGCAGGTGCTCGGCAAGGTTGACGCGTACCGCGGCGCCGACCTCGCGATCGACGACTGGTTCTCCCACGACCTCGCGTACTTGAACGCCGACCACCCCAAGGTCGCGAAGGGCTTCAAGACGTCGAACGATCACTTTACTGTCGTCGAAGAAAGCAAAAAGACTGCCGAAGACAAGCCCGCAGTGTCATCGCAGGCGTCACGCCAGGTGATGGCCAACCGGCGACCAGTGTCCGTCGCGACGGGGCCAGGCGCGCCAGCACCCAAGGCGCCCAAGCCCTCCGTCACGCCAACGTCCGCGATCAACGCGGGGCTTTCAAAGCGGTCGCTGACAGACATGGGCTCAGAGATCCGTCGTCAAGCCGAGTCGGGCCGCTTCAAACGGCAGCGCAACCGCATCTCAATGATCGACATTGACGAGGTCAAGCAGATCGAGTCCGAGAAGGCGCAGAAAGCCGAAGAACGGAAGCAGCAAGCGCGACGGGCCAACAAAGCAGCGTCAGCCTCGGCGACCGATGCCAACGCATCCGAAGCCGCGGGCGGTGAAGGCGGTGGCGACGGCGAGGCCATTGGCGACGGCGACGACGCCGCTAACGAGCAGCTCGCAGAGACAGAGGTGCCAGATGTGGCGACCTACGAAGCCAGCAACAGCCTCTCGGAGGTTGCCGAGGTCATGCAGAACTACCAAGACTACAACCAGCTCATGCAGTACGACATGTCGGGGAACGAGTCGTTTGTCGTGCAAGAAGGTCTGCACCACTACGATCAGAACAGCAGCCAAGCCGGCATGTACCAGCGGCAACAACAAGTGCAGCAGCAAGGGCAACAAGCTCCGCCTTTCCCAGAGCCCATCTCGTATGGCCAGTACATGGACCCGGCGCAGCCAGGCTACAACAATGGCGCCATGTCCAACTACGAAGAGGCTCGTGCGGCGCTGCTCCAAATGCAGCAAAGCGGCAACCCAAACAACGCCAACAGCAGCGACTCGTACCAGTACAACGGCGGCTTTATCGACTCGGCCAACTACTGGCGCTAAACGCAGTGTGGTCGAAGAGACACTAGTATATATCCTCATGGAATCGCAAATTTAAGGGGCGTGTGCGCCTCGTTCTCACCTACGTACGATAAGCTTGCGGTAGAGCTTGAATACGCACCAACTCGAACGAGCTCGTAGACCTGGCGCGGCTTGATGACGTCGAGGCCCCGATCGCGGAGGCGCTCGTTCATTTTGACGCGGACGCCTTGGGCGTCGGCAATGTCGAGAACGGCGCTTTGACTCTCTACAGCCTACAGTCGCAGAGCGTATGCAGCGTTTTGATTGCTTGCCTTTGACGGTCTTCATGACGGCCATGAGCTCTTCCAGTTGCGCTTCGTATTTGGCTTGGAGCTCTGCGTGCAACGTCAACACACTGGACGGTGTACGTACTACCTTCGAGCTCGGCGGGCGTCTTTTCGGAGGACTCGACGAGGCCGTAGCTGTGCGCCTCGCGCTCCTTCTTGACGCCTTCGATGTCGATGCCGATTTTGACCGACTTTTGCCGGCAGAGGTCGTCGACGTCCTTGCTGAACGAGGCCTTGACGAAGCCGAGGAGGATGTCGCACGTGACGTTCGTGTTGAACATCTTGAGCGGCATGTCGTCTACGCCACTCACTTCTTATTGCGCGTCCTATCTGCGCGCAGAAGGTGTACCAAAGCCGTACTTGATCCAGACAAACATCGCGCGGTATGAGCGGTTTCGCATGCAACTGATCCGGTTCACACAACCGGCTCGGTCCAACCGGTTTGCATCAATCAGGGGTAGGTGAGCCGGGTTGAACGTTCGGCACGAATCTTTGGTATTTAAAAAACGGTACCACACAGGACATACAATTAGCTAGCTTAAATCTGCCACAATGGATTAAAATACGCACTAGTCACTACATGCGTCAGTTGCGCACCACCTCACATTGGGTGGCGGGGACACAGAACGCCCGCTGATTGGCCAAGACTTAAATCGACGAACCAATCGTGTCGCGAGGCGTCCCTTCGATTTTTTGATTGGGATGCACTTTTGAATTTGCTCCAAGCTGCACAAGGTACCGTGATGCATTCGATGCAGTAGGAAGGGTAGTGAGAGATAGACTTTGAGCTGCGGGGGGTGCCTGCGGAGTGTCGTCCCATGCGAACGCATGACTATGGCGATCATTCCAGGGCTGAGATTATACCCTTTACACCTGATCCGGTTCGTACCGGCGGAGGGACAGCAGCTCCGAGAAGTGAATATGTTAACCAGCGAGGGGTGCTTGTGGAGTGTCGTCCCAGAGAGACTGTCTTTGTGGGTATGGCGATCATTCCAGGGCTGAGATCATACCCTTTCTACCTGATCCGGTTCGTACCGGCGGAGGGACTGCTGTGTACTAAAAGAGTGAGAGCTAATATGTATGTGTGCTCGCCCCCAGATCCAACCCACGACGTACGTACTACGCGTATCGTGTGGTGTGCGCTAACCGCGGCGATGTGTTGATACTTGCAGGACCACCATGGCCCCCAGCGCTCCGCTCAAGAAGACCACGTTCCTCCTCAACTGGTACGCCAACCCGTACCACACGCCCATCTTCGTCGCCAAGAAGCGCGGCTTTTACGAAGAAGAAGGCATCGACCTCGCCATCATGGAGACGACCAACCCCAGCGACGTGACTGAGATCGTCGGCTCGGGCGCCGCCGACATGGGCCTCAAGGCGATGATCCACATCCTCGCCGCCAAGGATCGTGGCATCAACATTACGTCCATGGGTGCGCTCCTCGACGAGCCCCCGACCGGCCTCATCTTCAAGGCCAGCCTCGGCATCACCAAGTTCACCGACATCGTCGGGAAGCGCGTCGGCTACATCGGCCACTTTGGCAAGATCATGATCGACGACTTGGCCAAGCAGGCCGGCCTCGCGCCGGACAGCTACACCACCGTGCGCGTCGGCATGAACGTGACGGACGCCATCATGCGCGGCGTCATCGACACGGGCATCGGCTTCACCAACTTCCAGCGCCTCGAGCTCGAGGAGCTCACGGGCGAGCCGGCGGGCATGCTGCGCATCGACGAGTGCAACGGTCTCGGCTGCTGCTGCTTCTGCTCTGTCATGTTTGTCGCGAGCGACGCGTACTTCCAGAAGAACAAGGACACGGTCGCGGCCTTTCTGCGCGCGACGCGCCGCGCGATGGACATCGTGATCGAGTACCCGGACGTCGCGTGGGAGGACATGTGCATCATGAACCCGCGCCTCCGCTCCACCAAGCGCATGGTCAACGTCGAGGTCGAGGTCGACGGCAAGAAGGCCACTGCGCGCGTCGAGACGGGCAGCGACGTCTACGAGAAGATCTACCAGCGCACGCTGCCGTACTTTTCGCGCACGCTCCTCAACGTCGAGCGCGACTGGGCCAAGGTCGGCGACTTCTGCAAGTACCTCCACGTGCTCGAGAACGAGGTCGACCAGCACACGGTCTACTCGAACGAGCTCGTGCCCGCCATGGGCAAGGCGTCCGTCGAGCCGCTCACGCCGGGTGGCGTCCTCGGCCTCGTCTCGCAGCAGTAAAACGCTCCTTGGCGCCGCCTTTAACGCGATGAATCCAATTCTACGTCGTGTTGGGCCCTTGTCATTCCAGTGGTTACGACTAGCAGCAATAAGATCTCAATGACCTTGGATAGCAGGCATGGCGTAGTAGAGTTCCGGCCACACCAAGTCCTTTGATGAAGATAGATAACGTCATATTCTTCAGTAGGACGCGCTAGGCTGCAAAAGAAATCCAGCTTGGGCAGCAGCTTCAGCTTTTGGCTCGCTTCGGTTCTTGTGTCTTTTGTGTGGCGTCGCGGGCGCGCTTGTTCCTTGCTGCAGCTTTGGCGCCGAGCCCCGTCGTCGCTGTGAGGTTGTAGTAGTTTCCAGGAGCATCGTGTTGCGGCGTCGCCCCTGCGGCGTTTGTTTGAGCCCCTGCAAGCACAAGGCCTTGGAGAGATGTCTTCAAGTCGGCGCACGACTCGCACATGGCCGTACTCGTATGCTTGATGCGCTCCTGGATGTACTGGTATCGCGCGCACTTGGCGTGGCGGAGACGATGGCGTGAGTCCACCGAGACGTTGCCCAGCTGAAAAAAGCGAAAGAAGCGTTGCACGTCGTCGAGGCCGACGTCGGAGCTGACGAGCCCGGGGCACGCGATAAAGACCTTGCCTCTGTGCGAAATACCGCCGCCATCAAAGGCGATCATGTGCAGGTCGACTTCAATGGCGAACATCTCGAGCTCTTGCAGTAGTAGCACTGTTCGGCGCCGATCGTCTTCAAGGTCGTTGAGAGCGGCGATTTGAAGGGCGTCTAAAACGTGCTTCACTTGCTCTGTGATGCACACCTTCCGTCTCTCGATCGGATCCATAGCGCCCATCATGTACAGTGGGGATCTCAACGGCCCGTCCTTCCACTTGGCGAGAACGCGCTTGTAGTTGTGCGCGGCCTGCTCGCACGGCTGGCACCGTTTGGTCGTGGTACCCAGTGGCAGCAGGATGGGGCATCCGATCGGCCGCACGCCGTTGTGCGAATAGGCGTAGCGCTCGTGGTAACGCAGCTCGTGTGCGCCCTCCGGCAGCCCCGGGCACGGCAGCAGCGCAGCGGTGTCGGCGGGTCTCATCAAGGCCGTCTCCGAGGCCTCCTTCCGCATGGCATCGTAGCATTTCTTGCACAAACCGCCGCTGCGCAGCGCGCGCGCGCCTCTCGATTGCACCGGCTGCACCGTGGCGATGGCTTCGCCATCGACCCCTTGTGACGTTTCGAGAGGGGGGATCTTGGTAATTAAAATTGAGACGGGTTTGATAAATGGTGCATCGCCGACTTGAGCGCTGTGTTGTGGTGGACTCCTTTCGCTTGTAGACTCTCATATATTTGCTTTCGAAAGCCTATTCCTCTGTCGGCCTCGCTGTACATTCTCAGTTCGGCCGCTGCCCAAAGACGCTCACTCAAATTCCTTCTCGCTTCCCTTCCGCCACTGCTTCGACCAGGAATAAAACTAGGGCTCCGTCATACACCCCACGTATTGTTCACCTCAGTAGCTTCTCGGAGTGTCATCCGTGCAGTCGTCTTGTGTTCGCTTCGCATCGGATGGGGGGCTGAGGAGGCTGGAAAGAGTGTGTTTTGTTAAGTCTATAAAAACCCAAAATTAAGTAATTCATCCTTGGTCGCACGCGCACATTCCTTGTCGAAAGTTGCGTGTTCTCAGTCATACCTCAAAAGACCATTGACCAATCCAAAGCCGCGAAACGCGGCTTGGGAAATCCCAACAATTGGTCACGACTCGGCGACGATGGGCAAGACCTCGGCAGACAACCGCGTACGTGGCTGCGCTTGGTGTTGCCGCGCTCATGGCTCGTAGGACATCTTCTACCGCAAGGCCAAGGAGGTCGGCTTCCGCGCCCGCTCGGCCTTCAAGCTCATGCAGCTCGACGACCAGTTCAACCTCTTCCAGAGTGCGTCCTTCTTCTGCCTCGTCGCGCAACCTCTCACGCTTGCTTGCAGACGTGGAACGCGCCGTCGACTTGTGCGCCGCACCGGGCAGCTGGAGTCAAGTGCTGAGCCGAAAGCTCTATGAAAACCGGTCGATCCCGAACATTGAGGCCATCTCGCACGCGGACGCGGCCGAGCAGACGCAGATCCGCGTCGTGTCGGTGGACTTGCAAGAGATGGCGCCGATTCCCGGCGTCGCTACCATCCAAGGCGACATCACGTCGACCAAGACGGCGGAGCAGATCATCGCATACTTTCACGGGCAAAAGTATGCGTCGATCTATGAATCGTAGTCTGAGCACCGTGTGTAGGGCCGACATTGTCGTGTGCGACGGCGCGCCGGACGTGACGGGCGTCCATGACATTGACGAGTACGTCCAGTCGGAGCTCCTTCTCGCGGCGCTCAACATTACGACGTTCGTGCTTTCGCCGGGCGGCAGCTTCGTGGCCAAGATCTTCCGCTGCAAGCACTACGAGTTCCTCGCGGCGCAGCTCAGCCTTTTCTTTGCCGAGGTGACGTGCGCCAAGCCGCAGTCGAGTCGCGCGTCCAGCAACGAACACTTTGTCGTGTGCCGCGGGTTTCAGTTGCCGCCGGGCTACACGCCCGTGATGACGTCGCCGCTGCTGCCGCAGTACGGCCAGCCCAGCGAGATGAAGCGTGATCCCGAGCTCATCTCGTTCTTGGCGTGCGGCGACCTGAGCAGCTACGACGAAGAGTAGATGTTTACAAATAGGACGCGACTGGATGGTTTTGTATTGCCTTGGCCAAGTACACTCGGATGCTCCGACATCGTATAACAAGGGCTGCAAAGGTGCACATCAAGGTGGGCAGCAATGTCTTAGGCCTTATTGCACTAAGGGAACGTGGGCATGAGCTCGACGGGCTTGCACGCCGGTGCTTCGCTAAAGTACTCGTGTTGGAGCGCATCGGCGGCCGAGATACGCTGGTTTGGGTCGAGCGTCAAGAGCCGCTGCATCAAGTCAAACCCGGCGTTCGAGAGCGCGCTCTGACCGTACGTGAGGCTCGCGACAGGGAACTTCTCGCGCAGCACCGACCGCTTCGGGCCCTTCCACTTGACGTTGGCGACGTTTGGGAGGTCCGTGACACCCGGCCAGTTTTCTTCAGTCGGCGGCCCGAGGAGCTTAAATATTTGGTCGAGCTGGTCAATCTCGCCGCGCCCCATGAGGAGCGGCTTCATCAAGACAAGCTCTGCGAAGATGCACCCGACAGACCACATGTCTACCGCAGTCGAGTACGACGACGTGCCAAGGAGGAGCTCTGGTGCGCGGTACCACAGCGTCACGACGAGGAGCGTGTAGTTGCGGATCGGCGACCCGTACTTTCTGGCCATGCCAAAGTCGCAGACCTTAAGGACGCCGTCGTCGTAGAGCAAGTTGCTGCTCTTGAGGTCGCGGTGAATGTACCACTTGCCGTGCATGTAGGCCATGGCCGAGAGGAGCTGGCGCAGCAGCGTCTTGATCTCAGACTGCAGGAACGGGTGGTTCTCGGCCTTCTTCTTCTCGAGCACGTGCTTCAAGTCCTTCGTCGCGTAGTCCATGACCATGTAGATCTTGTCGGGCGTCGACCCGACCACCATCTCGCGCATGCGCACGATATTCGGGTGGTCAAGCGCGAGGAGGATGTTGGTTTCCCGCAGCGCCGTCACCGGAAAGCCTTCCCGGCACATGTCCACGGTCATCTTGACCTGCTTGAGCGCTACGATGTCGCCCGTCGCCTTGTCCCGCGCCTTGGACACGACGCCGTACGTGCCTTCGTCGATCTTGCCGATGCGCGCGTAGTTGTCGACGCCCCGACAGCGCGGCCGGCCCTTGGTCGCCCGCCGACCAGCGTCCGACGTCACGGCGTCGACTGCTGGCGCTACGTCGCTGGACTTGATCTCCTTGACGTCGACCTCGGTCTCGCGCCTGCTTCCCGCCCGGCGGTCGCTCTTGTCGTCCTCGTCGTCGCTGCTCCAGCGATTGCGCTTCATGATGGGCGACCCAATCCTTTGAAATGCGATCGAATCCAACAAAATCAGTTTTCAGAGGCATTTGGATTCGGCATGCATGCCGAATGTAGCACCCGTGAAAGCGGCCGAAGGGTTGAAGCTGACCGGATGCAGCTCTCGGCAACAGCCACCTGCGAGCTTTATGGCGGGCTCTCAAGACGGGAACCGCTTCACAGGATTTGGTGAGCAGTCAGTAGACTGTATGAAGACACCAAGTCTCGGACGCGACAGGAGACGAAATCGTGTGGCAGTGCAGGCCGTCGGACGAACATGCGATTGGCCTTTGCTGCACCGCGATAGACTTGCATTCATGAGCTCGTCATGCAAACGAACGCATACCGGCCGCAACGAGCAACTCAGCTGCGGCGGTGCTTCCAACACCATCAACGTAGCGGTAGCAAGCGTCTGGCGTCACCTGGCAGAGACGGTCCCTGCTTGAGCACAACCGCGCGATCGGGATCTGGGCGCGAGGGATCGGTGAAGTCATGGCGGTGAAAAGTGGTACGACAGGGATCTTGTGCATGCTTTCGCAAGGCAGTTCTTATTTGACCAAGTCACGCCCGTGGCTGTCCCTTGTCATAGCGACGAGGCTGCCAATCAAGGCGCGGGAAAGAGACGCCGACAGGAATAATGACCAATCCCGCGGCGTGGATCCTGATGTGGCCAATCAGCGCGCGATCTTTTGGGAAATGACCTCCTTACGTGGCAGCCACGGCGGCGATGACAGGTGACCTGGCCACCCACTTGACCTTGCCGTTTGTATTGAACTTGGGACTTTCAACAAAGTGGCCCGGATGATGGCACCCGCGCTGCTGTTTACAAATCGCTCGTCACACTCCGCGCGGTTTGTTGCATATACACACGCACCGAATAAAAAGCGTCGCAAGTCGAATTCAAGCGTATGCAATACAATTCATCCATTTAATTCATTGTCAGAGGTTTCTCAGGCTCGCGATCGCGCCTGTTGAACGCTCCATGTGGCGCCATATTCAAAGAAAGAGGTTGCGGCGACCTCGGTGGAAAGGCCCACTTGTCAATTTTTGAGACCGAGACTGCGATGGTGGACGCGCTGAAGACGGTCGCCGACGACGACATGAAGCTATGTATGTACGCGCCGGCTGGCGCAGGCGCCTCACGCCTCTGCTTCTATAGTGTGGACGCCGTCCAAAGAGCTGCTGGCCTCCTCCAACTGGACCAAGTTTACGGCCTTTGTCAACAAGAAGCATCGGTACACACTGCTCTCTCAGTCGCTCCGCCACTAACACTGTCATAGCCTCCAGATTACGACGGTCGCCGAGCTCTGGCAGTGGTCAGTCGACCACATCTCGGACTTTTGGGCCGCGGTACGCTGCGATGTGATGACTATCGATGGCTAAGATTGACGCGTAGACGTGGGAGTACACGGGCATGATCGCGTCGACGCCGTACACAAAGGTCATTGACGACGAGAAGAAGATGCCGGGCGCCAAGTTCTTTCCGGGCGCGCGCCTCAACTTTGCCGAGAACCTGCTGCGCTTCCGCGACGACCGGACCGCGATCGTGTTCAAGTCGGAGACGAGCAACACGCCGATCACGCTCACGTACAAGCAGCTTTACGCGCGCGTTGCGGCCTTGAGCCAGCGCCTGCGCGAGATGAAGGTCGTTGCTGGTGACCGTGTCGTTGGCTACATGCCCAACACGCCGGACGCGATCATCGCGATGTTGGCGTCGACGAGGTACCTCAATTCTTCACGCTCGCATGCTCATAAGGACTAGTGTCGGCGCGGTCTGGTCGAGCTGCTCGCCCGACTTTGGCAAGAACGGCGTCCTCGATCGCTTTGCGCAGATCACGCCCAAAGTCATGTTCACCACGGACGGGTACTTTTACAAGGGGAAGCGCATCGACACGATGCCGGGCCTGCGCGAGATCACGCACGAGCTCCCGTCGCTCGAGCGCATCGTCGTCTTCCGCTACACGATCGCCGATGCGTACGACCTCGACCTGCATAGCATCCCGCGTGCCGTGTACGCCGACACGTTTATCGCCGAGCTCCAGGCGCCGGTGAAAACCAGTATCGAGTTTGAGAAGCTGCCGTTCGACCACCCGGTCTACGTCATGTACTCGTCCGGCACGACGGGCCTCCCCAAGTGCATCGTGCAAGGCCCCGGCGTGCTCCTCAACCACCTCAAGGAGCACGTGCTGCACCTCAACGTCACCCGCGACGACGTCGTCTTTTACTACACGACGACCGGCTGGATGATGTGGAACTGGCTCGTGAGCGGCCTCGCGGTCGGCGCCACGGTCGTCCTCTTTGACGGCAACCCGCTGTACCCGTCGACGGCCGCGCTCTGGAAGTTCGCCGAGGTATCTCTCTACTAGATCGTAGCGACTAAGTTGGGCGGTGTAGGAAGTGGGCGTGACAGTCTTTGGCACGAGCGCGCGGTACCTCGCGGCCGTCATGGACTCGCACTGCAAGCCCGGGAAGGAGTTTAACCTCTCGAAGCTCAAGATGATTGCGTCGACGGGGTCGCCGGCCAGCACCAACATCTTCCGCGTGCGTCTTGTCGATCTCATGGGGTTTCTTATTGCTCATCTACCAAATGTGTCTCTAGTTTGTCTACACGGAGATCAAGACCGACGTGCAGTTTGCGTCCATCTCGGGGGGCACGGACCTCAACGGCTGCTTTGCGCTCGGGTGCACGAACCTCCCGGTGTACAACGGCGAGCTCCAGTGCCGCGGCCTCGGCCTCGACGTGCACATCTTCAGCGACGACGGCAAGAAGCTCCTGAAAGAGCAGGGCGAGCTCGTCTGCCTCAAGCCGTTCCCGTCCATGCCGCTCTACTTTTACGGCGACAAGGACGGCTCCAAGTACTTTGGCGCGTGTACGACGTCCTCACGTAGAGGATCGGAGATCTGATTTTGCGTAGACTTTGACGTGTTTCCGAACGTGTGGCGCCACGGCGACTTTGCAGAAATCACGGCCAACGACGGCATGGTGCTCTACGGGCGCTCGGACGCGACGCTCAACCCGGGTGGCGTCCGCATCGGCACGGCCGACATTTACAAGGTCGTCGAGCACATCAAGGACGTGGCCGACTGCGTCATCGTCGGCCAGGACTATGTGCTCGCCGACGGCACGCCGGACGTCAAGATCGTCCTCTTTGTCGTCATGGCCGACGGCCTCGAACTCACAAAGGAGCTGCAAAAAAAAATTTGCAGCAAGATCCGCGCCGAGAACTCGCCGCGCCACGTGCCCGGCCTCATTGTCGCGTGCCCCGACATCCCGTACACGGTGAGCGGCAAGAAGGTCGAGATCGCCGTCAAGCGCATCCTCGGCGGCAAGCCCATCACGAACGCCAGCGCGCTCCGCAACCCCGAGTCGCTCACGTGGTTTGAGGTGTACGCGGCCGAGCACGCCAAGTAGTTTTAGAGTAAGTCGCCCAATATGCATGATGCTTTGGATTTAGCTTAAGAGCTCGCGGAAGAGCGCGAAGATGTCGTCGCCAGTCGACCACGTGCGCACGTTGACGCTGACGGGCGACGCAGCAAGGCGCTTCGCAAGCTCGTACTCGGCGCGGGCCAGCGCATAGTCGGTCCTATCGCGTTGTGAGTTTTGGAGAGCAGAGAGGAAGGGCGTACGAGCAGAGCTCGGACGTCGGGCAAAAGTCGCCGCCGCCATCGCCTGCGATTAGGTCATCGTCATGTTCCTGCAAGACTGGTGGGCGTACCAATGTAGACGATCTTGGTGTACGACTTGGCCGCCTTGATCGAACGCAAAATGGCGCCTAGGAGCCATGAGCGACGACGACGCAAGCAATTGTACCCTTGCACATGTTGACGGGGCACTTAGGGCAGCCGTGGAGCGCGTCGGCCTTGGGATGGAACGGGTGCACGCGCAGGATGTTGCCGTCGAACGTCCCGGGGTTGGTGAACACCGGGCGCACAATGTCCTGCAAGCCATGCAGCGCGAGCATGCTCTCGATGAAGACCGTGTTGGCGTCGCTCACAATCATAATCTCGGCGCCTTGGGCGTGGGCGAAGCGGACCGCCTCGAGCATACCTACCCACGATGAGCGCGAGCTCCGCTGATACATCGATGGTACCAGGCTGGACGGGCACGCGCGCAATGGCCTCGATGAGCTGTTCGCGCGTCGTCGACGTCAATTGCCCAAGCGTTTGATCTAGCGGGCATGAGTCTCGACCGCATCGCCGACGTCGTACCCACGGCGTCCGTCCACTGCACGCCGCTCGCCGTGAGCTGCTTGAGGTTGTCGAGCAGCGCCGGCTGGAGCTCCTTGAAGACGAACGTATCCGAGTTGTCGTTGATCAAGCTCCTACGCTCGGCTGCATGAGGCCACGCCCTTCGCCCGCCCGCCTGTTGCACCAGTCGTAGTCGAAGACAACCAAGGCCATTTTGCTGTAGTTCAGGCGGGGAATTCTAGGACTGCGGCGGTCGACCCACCGCTTGCATCCGAGATGGGTGGATTCGTTTGCATCAGGAGGGGGCGATTATCTCACAATGCGCTGCACACGGTGGTTTTGAAACAGTAGAAATATTTATACCTGTAAATAAAATAAAATAATTGCTGGCTCTTTCCCTTTTGTACAGATATCGTCGGCGCCCGAGTCGCTCACTTGAATTGGGTAAAGAAGCTCAAGCGGGACGCGGAATCTTCGCGAAGGTCCGCGCCGCCGAGGCCGCCGTTGTCCGAGGAGAGGAACCAGTCCGAGGGCGACGACGAGTCGGTCGCGTCGCCGCTGCCGCCAATCGAGACCGCCGAAAAGTCCTTCCAGAGCTCGTCGGCCTGCAGCGAGAGGTCGCGCTTGAGCGGCGACTTGAGCGACGAGCCGGCGGGAACCGTGGGCGGAAGGCCAACCTTGGGCGAGGAGGCACCGACGGTCGGCGCCGGCGCCTCGTTGTCCGGGAACGACTGCGAAAACTTGAGAAGCACGCCGATCGCGTCTTGCAAGCCGTTGTACTCGACGCTCTGGTCCAGGACGTTGCTCATTGAAGGCGACTTCTTGGGCGGGCCGATTGGGCTCGTCTTGGGCGCGTACGTGTGCTCAGACGGGCTGCGCAAGAACGTCGGCGTCGAAGCGACTTCGCCCGAGAGCCACGTCGGCGACGATTGGCCGTTGAGCATGCCAAGGTCCGAGTTGTAAGGCATGAGGCCATTCGATGCGGGGAGGTCCGAGTTGTACTGGGCGTTGAGGAACGAGAGGTCGCCTTGGGACGTGGGGGAGATCTCGTTACGTGGAGACAAGCCACTCGACTTGTACATCGACCCCGAGCGGCCGACGGGCTCCTCTTCGTGAATGAAGCGGCAGCGGCTACCGTAAGGGCAGTGGCCCGACCCCCAGTAGGACTTGCACTTGGTGGTCTTGTACTTGGGGTGGCGGAGCACGTGGCGAAGCTCGGGCATGCCGTGAGCAAACTGGCACTTGGCGCCGTAGCGGCAGCTGCCGTACTCGGAGAAGCGCTTGCAGAGCTCGGTCTTGTAGAGCGAGGGCTTGGCGTTGTTCTTGGGCGAGACGATCTGGCCCGAGAGGTCGTACTGGTCTTCGCCGTCGTCCATGTAGTGGCCGTGGGGCATGCCCATCGAGTGCGAGTGCTCGAGCGAGAGGCTGTAGGGCGGGGGCTGGTGGTTGGCGAGGTCCAGGTACTCGGCCTCGGAGTGGTGGCTGTTCATCATCCCCATCGAGAGCCGACGCTGCGAGTGGTCCATGGCCGTCACCAACATACTGTTACGAAGAGCTTCTGGTAAAGTCAAATGCGGCGGACCCAAGGAGCGACTGCTTCTTGGGGCGTGCGGATTATGCGAAACAAGAGCAAATGAAAAAATGAACAATTACAAATCGGCATGCCTCTCCCGACGCGTATTTTAATAGCGTTTTTCGCACAGTCCATACAAACCGCCATATAAATGGCACCGCTTCGGCGCGATTCTCGAAATTATGCCCGCAGCCCGTATTTTAATTCACGGCCGTACGAAATAACTACCCTCCACCAATATTCTCGTCCAATCCGTACAATCCTTCATTTTTCGAATCCTTCGCCGTACATCGTACATCCGTACAAACACTCCGTGAAAACACCGTACGGAGACCGTACAGAGCGTACATTCCCCAGCTGGGCCAGGCGTCGCCGGCCAAGACGCCCTCGGATTGGCTGCTTCCCAGGTGCTGGCTGTGCAATAAAAATGCAGTCCGTTCGGTCCTGAATTTTATTTGAAGGCCTCTCTTTTTTTAAATTCTGCGACTCGGAAACTGACCCGCGTTGCATTATATTTCGTAGTATTATTTTGGTGTGCTATTTTAAAACGAGGTCACCTGTCGCCCGACTTCGGCGCGAATCGGCGATGATTTTTTCTTGCTAGCGGCCACTTTTTTTCGTATTTTAATGCAACGCGAGGTCTCCGCCAAAGTATCCAGCCGAACGATTCGTGGCGCTGCATGATGTGGCTGCCTTGGCCAGCTGAAATGCGACATGCTGTCGAGGGCATTCGCCAGCCTTGCTTCGCCATGGACATGCGGCGCCTGTGGACTGCCGCACACGGCCGAGCTGTCGCGCCAGTCGGCGACCCTCCACAACGCCCGACGCGGCGGAAGCCTTGCCAGCCGCATACCGTTTCACAGCGTCCTGAGATATCCACGTGCGTGTGATAGCGAGGCCGATGGGCGGCTCTGAGGTTGTCGTTGCCCTTGTGCCGTCGCGCAAGACTAGCGCGTCGTGATGATAAGGCTTGAATACCGGGAAGACTTGTCGATTCCGAGGTGACGGACTTTGCAGTGCGCTCCCACAGCCCTCTGCAATGAAGGTGGCACGAAGAAGGCGGGAGAACCTTGCCAGCGGGGCGACTGATCCGTCGTTAGAAGCGCGGCGTACTGTCGCCGACCTGATAAATGCGATGCTTGCAGCGAATGACGACGGTACATATATAGGGACAATGCGAGGCGGCGGCAGTACACGGTACTACTATTCGACGCGGGAGCAAAGGGACCTTTAACGCCGTCCTCTGCTGGAGTAGCCTACGAGCTTGACGCAGGCCCAAGCGGCGCGGCAACCGCGCCGACGCCACGCTTCGGGAATCTTCCGCACCCAAGAATGCACGTCAGCCGCCTCCTGTTTGAAGTTGGATCGAACGCACACAATTACACAATTCACCGAGTGATCGGCTTTTCACACGCAAATACCACACGTGAAATTCGACGCCGAGAGTGCTGGTCGATTTTGAGTGAAGGTACGGTAACCGAGCATAACCGGTTAAGCAAACCGGTTGGTGGAGGAGTCACGCGCCGACTGCACCAAGCAAGGCAGGCCAGCAGAGCAGGCTGGCAGGCCAACACACAGGGCGAATGACGTGGCAGCTAATAGCTAGCGCCATGTTAGTCATGGGCTAGAGCGTTAGCAGCTCAAGTAGCGTGGTGGGGAGTTTTCTCATTCTAGAACCTTCGATGCAACGACCTTCGAAGCATCGAGCAAGGAAGGAGGACGAGATGGTGTTATTATTGTGGATTATCATAAGCAAGCAGAAGCAGTCGCGCGGTCGGGCCGCTCGCTCGCGTCCGCTCGCAGCAATGATCCGCGAAGGGACCTAAGTACAGGAATAGAATATATGAATGAGACGTATCTTGGGCCCTTGGCGACAAGGAGGGGGTCAAACCACCCCCTTC